ATCCGTTATCGCTGTTTGATCCGTCCCTGCTGGGGTTAAAGCATTTGCCAAATATGGGCGTAGCATTTGCATTGTATTCCAAGGAGGGAGAACAGCATTTGGCAAGTTATTATGTTTTCAGTTCGGTTTCGTAGTGTTCAGCTCGGTTTTTGTCGGACTCCAGGCGCAGCAGGTGCAACTCAGGTCCATGCAGCTGCCGGGGGCCCTGTGGATGGACCAGAAATCAACCACCTTGATCGGCACCAGATAGGTGTATCAACCAGTCTTCCCTTCCGGTTTCATTCCTCCCAATTGGTGTGAAGTTCATTTTGTTCATCCAAAAGTACAAGGATAATATCAATGTTTGGCCCCTTCATGAGGTTGAGTTGTGTTGATTCCGCTCAATACAGAATCAAAGAGCACTTGAAATGGGGCCTGAGAAGGGGGTCGTGAAATTGGCTTGCAACCCCATGTTAGGAAAAGTATAGGAACCGCGTCAAATTAAGGAGGGCTACACTGCAAGGGCTTTGGGTGAGAGTTACCTCAACTCGTTTGATCCCTTTGGTTGCGTGTCCAGTCAGCTTCCCTTTGGGCTCCGCCCACATGCCCCTATCGGCCCAGCATGGTTTTGGTAATGTTGGTTTCAGTGGAACATTCCAAGGGCGCCCTCACTTTGGCATTGCAACAGGTTGTCTACACCCATGGGCCCTCAGATGAGTTTGGAAGGGCTTGTAAATCAAGTCACCCCGCCCCACCCCCCCACCCCCAGTTTATTGTCTCGTACATGATCCCTCCCAATGTGTTAGCTCTATCACCACCTACGCTTCCCGAGCTTTAATGTTTTTCGGCCACAGGAACGAGCGCCTCATCGACGTCTCGGAGCGTGCGCGGGCGGTGCAGGCTGCCTCCGCGGAGCTGCACAGGCAAGACCGGGAGTTCGGAGATGGCCGGGGATTGGGCGTGCAGCGAGCTTCTGGACTCGATACTTTCGGAAAGACTCTATTTTGGTGGACAAAGGCCTAGACTTTGTTTAAGCCAGCCCACTCAGGAAGTGAGAAATACAGTACTCATGGCTTTAGTGCGACCGAAGCGTCGCGTCGGCCTTTTTGGAACGAAGGGGTTTGCGACTACTCGTGCAAAAGGTCAGAGCATTTGTTCAGGGGGCAGAACAGCAACCAGTCCCGTGGACAGTGGATGGACAAATTCCTGAACCTGGGGGTAGGTGGTTCCCAATATTCATATGGTTTCATCCATTAACTGGTGCGAAGTTCATATTGTCCATCCACAGTATTATTGGGTCAAGTAGCCAGGCATTTGTTTAACTTGCCCACTGGGAGACCACAGGGGGCCGGGTGTTTGTTTACACCCCATTTGGCCCCCAGATGGCCCAAGGTAAGGAAGGTGAACCAATGTTGTTCACCAAGCACACCCTTACATGTACGATGTACACATACAAAGAAATATATGGCAACAGAGGAGAACCAATGGAGAACAATAACCCACAGTTTGTTGTCAACAATTCATCCAATGATGTTGCGAAAGAAGGTGAACCAATGGTAGTGTCCAAACATTGATCAAGGAATGGTTTGGCCCTGGAAAACGTTTCAAAAGTTATTGCCCGAGTGCCTGAACAGAAGCCAGGCACGGACCGGAATACTTGACGACTCTTTTAGACAGAGGAGGTCTTTTCTGACTATCTGAGTTCGTTGGCTTTATACTTTTCGGCATACGGTCTTCGTAGGACTCAATGGTAGTCACAAAGTTTCGACTCTTTGGGCCAGAGGAAGTAAGGAGGCCTTGTTGAAATCATATCGATTCTACTCTTCAACAAGCTTTCTCTCCGAATGGGATCGACACCGGGATACGTCGCAAGCTTGGTTGCAAACTGTTCGAAACAACCAAGCCATGGGCAATGGCGAATCGGGAAGCCAGAAAACACCCATTTGTAGAGGAGTCTCCTTGGAAAAAAGGCTCCTTCGTAGGTGCCATGTCAATCTACCCTGTTTAGATCACAGGTGCTTTATACCCCACGTTTTTGGTTTAGGTTGGTTCCTTGTGTTTTGGTTTGCCTTGGTTTTTTTTAGTTTTTACCTGGTCTAAACCGAGGATTCAATCGCCCGAGGATTCCTCCTTTCGGCCGATCCCAGGCCCGACAACCTCTCGGAAGCGGCAGCTCGGCATCGAGCTACGGATTGGTTTGGGTCCATCCCGCCCCCCCCCCAAAAAAAAAAACAAAACAAGAGAGAAGATAGGGTTCCCCCAAACAACTGGGTGTTCAACCCACCAAAAACTGGGTGTTCATCCCAAAAAATACTGGGTGCTAAGCCCCCAAACTTTAGTTTTTAGAGGGAGATCGTTCCTTTTTTGCTCATCCGGCCTATATTTGATGCCCCAAGTGAAGGATTCCCCACTTGCGACGAACACAACGTGGGGCTTTGCAGCCTCCATGATCAAGGTTCCTCACTTGAGGAGTCCTTGTTGGTTTGTAAGTCAAAGTATGTTGTGCAGATACATGGAAAACCTTCATTGCAAGGAGAATACCGTTTCGGTAGGTAGCAGGTATGATTCCTGCAGTTTGTCAATAGTAGTTCCTACTTTATCGTTTCTGATGGTGACTTGGGCACCAAGGATTCGTTCCTCATTGAGACGTCAATTTCCCCTGGTGAACTACCTGGGAAACAGTTTAACCTGTTTCACGCCCTCCTGTTTTTGCTGGTTTTATTTCCAAGTCGTCAAGATTTGGGTCAAGATTTGGAAGCTATTCGTTCGCCCAGGCCAGCCTAGCAGCTGCGTTCAGCTGCCAGGAAGGGGGCGTGCACATGCATCTTGTTGCTTTGTGGTCGTGCGTTTCCATTGACCAAACAGAGGGGTAACCCGAACGCCCAAACGGCCTGCTTGTGCCTCAGAGGGAAATATGTGTTCATTTTGCTGGTAGAAAATAACGGGAGCGTTTTATGTGTTTCATTGGTTTGATAGGTTGGGGTTCTCCTCTCAACTTTGCGGAGAGTGTGGGCGGTAAACCGAGCGACAGCAAGGCCCAGATGGATAGAGGATTTGTTTACGGCAAGCCCAGAAAGACCACTCTGAACTATATACATATATACAGGTTTGTGACCCTAAGTCTGGCGGGTTCTTGGAGATTGGTTTGGTCAAATGACAGATCCTTGTTTTCCAAAGCTGAACGTATATGAACTCATACACAATATGAAGACCTTCTATGACCCCCGAGTGTACCACGCTAAATTGGGCAACCCACTGAGTAGAAGGAGCGCCCCAAAAGGAGATGTAACTCTGCGCATAGGGATTTAGGTGTGTTTTGCGGATTGCATATTGGTTATCAGGAGTGGATCCAATCATTGTGTGATATTCTAGCGGGAGTGGAAAAGCCGATGACAGTAACCTTAGTCGTTGCAGGCAACCCACAGCTTGATCATAGCCACCATTTCCCCCTCATGGCTCAAGACATATCTGAGGCCAAGAGCGAGTTTCCTGTTGGCGGATTGTTGTTTTGGGTCTGGAACATATTGGCTGTGGAAGGGCTCGGGGCTTGAGATGAGCTCGCCGTTAGCTTGTGCCGCGTGGCTCGCTCCAGTCCAGCTCAAATTCACAGCTGTTAATTTGAGCTGGACTGGAGCGAGCCACGCGGGACAAGCCAACGGCGAGCGTATACTCGGCATGTGAAAGTATGCAAAAGGCACATGTAAACTTTTCTAGACATTTGAGACCAGATTTGGGCAAGCGAAGGTCCTTTACCAGCACCAAATGTTAACTGTCTGATTCGCCCAACTTTGATCCACTGGTAAACAAGACCCTAGCTTTGCCACTTGCATCCGTTTCGCCGCAGCTGGACTTTACCTGTTACTCCAGCTGGACTTGTAACTGTTTGGGGAGATTATTTTAGTTGTCAATAGTCTGGACTTTTACTGTTCAGCTCGGCTGAGAGCCCACGCTCCCACGTAGCTTGCATCTGGGTTGCTGCGCACCGTACATCTACCGTGTTTGGTTCAGTTGACTCTTGGCGTTGCTTGACTATTGCAGGCATGCCTTGGAATGCTTTGCGGCACCCTGACCAGCCTGAGTTGCGCAAGCGAGCGCGCGGACCTCAACGCGCAACAATGGGTTTCACGCTTTCCTCAGTGGGGGAGTTCTTCGCATTGCGCAAGCGAGGGGGGAACTTGGGAAGATGCGGGGTGACTCAACCACTGAAATCCTTGTCCTCCCAGATTCCCGACATTCAACCAAGAGTGCAACTGAAGGCATGCAACAAAGGGTCAATGTTCGTTGATTCTTCATCTTTATGCCAGATGGCAGTGGTTTCGCTTGTCGTGCTGTCCTACTAATTTAGGATCAAGGGTCAGCTTATAGGCACCTCAACATTATGTTGATGTCTTGGGGCCTTTTGTTGCGTGTGGTTCCAAGAAAAAAACACGGGGGAACCCCCGCTGCGCGCCCAGTTTCTTCCGCCCCTGTACCCCACAAGCAGAAGGCGCCCGGGGAAGTCCCTGGAAGTTCAATTTCCCCAAGGACTTTTTCAGGTTCCATGGCGTTTCGGAGGAAGCTCCGGTCCTGCAGGAGCAATTGCAGAAGCTCCGGTCCTCCGTCTTCCAAGAGATCTCAGCCCGGAGCCCCGGAGCCCCCGGAGCCGTGGGTTCGACCCGGGTCACAACTGAAAGCCGATGAAGGCCGCTTTCAAGATTCACGGACTTCCTGTTTGGGCATTCCAGTGTGTGGTGAACATTGAGGCAAGGTTGCAGACAAAGACGTCAACATTTTGAATGTCTGACAGCAAGTTGTTTCCTCAATCCGGGAGCCACCAGCTCGACTTCTCGGGCGAGCGGAGCTCCATTTTGGCGGTCTGTGTAGGCACCAGCTGCCAGCTGTTGCAAGCTTTTTGTCGCATGGAAGATCAAGTTTCTCTTGAAAGGCCCCCATGACACAGTCCCCTTCCGAAACTCCTTCCAGGCACTTCCCACGCGCCGGGTAAAGCGCAGCGACCACCTGGCGTTGGATAGGACGGCGACCGAGCGAACGAGCGCAATCGGCTGAAACCGGCCGTCGGTCGTTGAGTGGATTTGGCCCGGGCGTTTTCTGGTGGGGGATATGCGGCATATGTGGATCTGTCGAGGGTACTAGTACCCGTCTGAGAGCTGGTTAAAATGGATCGCCGAAGTGAAACCACTTACTTTTGGGTTTCATGTCCAAGTTGGCACCGTTTCCTTCCTTGAAAGTTGGTGCCTGCAACCTCAACCTACTCTCAAACATGGGACATCACCCCAAAACTTTCTGGGGAAAACCCACTTTGAGGATAGCTTGGGGTCCGAACGTGTTCTTCTGGGCAGCTGGAATCGTGTGACCCCCCTCCCAATTAGTCAATTAGTGGTTTGGATCGGCGGTTTGGGTTGAACGGTTCTTGTAGAGGTCAATTGGGAGACCCCCCCCCAATCTCCAAGCCGCCAATCCAAATCACCAAGATCGGACAACTGCCTATGAATTGAAACATCTTGTCCGAATCACCAACTAGATGGAAGCTTATGAATTGCAACGCCTCATCCAAATCACCAACTAGAGGGCAGCTTATGAATTGAAAGGCGCACCTAAAAGCTTCAGGTTCTCTCCGCCCCAAGGGGCGCCGATCGCCTCGATAGCTCGAGGAGCGCCCTGGAGACCGGGGAGCCGAACCCGGGCTCAGAGATCGACACCCCCACCTTCGGCAACCGCAGCGCCTTCGGCACCGTGAAGTCCTCCGCCTCAGGCGAGCGGCGAGCGGCTACCGAGTCGACGGAGACGCCTGGGCCTTGTTTCGAGCCCCTTTGGGGCTTGGTTTTTACAGGAAAGGTGAGGAGAAAGCCACCATTTGAGGTTGTTGGTTCTTTTTTTGTTCGAGGGTTCTTTTTTGGAGCTTGGTTTGAGGGTTTTTCAGGGTCCCCTTATGTTGAGACAAACCCATTTGGGGGGGCCGGTGGCCATTAAAAAGGCCGCCAAGGAACCCAAAATCAGGCCACCTCTGGTTGGCCATATTTTGGGCCTGCTTGAGTTGGCAGACTTCGCAGTGTTCTTCGTCATTTTAGTCGAGGCCCAAAATGTTTGAACTTTTTCTGGCCAGTCAAGGTAGCTGGTCTGTGGTCTGCGTTTGTTTTTACCTGCCGACTGGGGATGACTGGGTTTATAGCCCCGCAACCAAGCAGAGGCGGCAAGAGGATTCTTGGTTGGGAAGTTTCATTATTGGAACACCCCTGCTGCGTGTGGGCGTAAAATATCATGATAGGTGATGTCTGCCAAAATGGTTGTTCAGTGAACATGCATGCCTACTTCCTAGTGTCTGAATCCCATGTTGTTGATTGGATTTGCGAACGCAGGCCACATTGGAGTGAGTTTCCTTTTGGGCTGATGTTCGGAGAAGTACCGGGGACCATCTCAGTGAGAAAGGCGACGGTGTGTTGCTCATTTTGCCTACTCCGGCTCCACCAAGGGGGGGAGGGGTCAAGTCCATGACAAGGGTCGGAGAGGTGTTCCTGGATCCTCAACCGTTAAAATTCAGTGGGTCGCCCCACAAGATTGTGGGACGAGGTCCCATTTTCAAGTGTAGTGCGAGGCTCCAGGTTAGCCCCTGACGGTTCCAGGGGCTGTCAAAGTCAGCAAACTTCTGGCCCTTTAGTTTTGCGCTAACACGCGTTGCCTCGACTCCATTGCGCAAAGTACCAGCCAATTGTCTGCTCCTCGCAAATGATCACCAGTTGCATGTTGACCAGTTGCACGTTACGCAACGACCTTCTAGAAAAGCGTTGAGTCTTGCAGGTTTAGCTTCGACCTCGCTGATATGGCCATTCTGTCCAACCGCCGATCTTTTGAAACCTGGTTTTTTCCAGTTTCCATATGTTGTCTTTCCAAAAGAGAGAAATCAACACGCTGACCAGAGGGTTCTCAGTTTCGACGCACTCTTCGCACAGGAAATATACTGGTTGTCTATTGAGCGCAAGTACGGTCAATTTCCGCAGGAAGGCAAAAGGGAATTTGTTTTGACTCTGTCCAGACCCCGTATTTGGTACCCATGTGGTGTGAGCCATCACGACCCAGGAAAGTGAAGCCCAGGAAAGTGAAGGGATCATCCTAACTGGTGCAGTCCTGAAAAACCTGGTCACATTTTGGGTAGACCCTAGTTTGGATTGTGATTAGCCTGATGCACCATGGCCTATTTGCACTGGCAGTATCTTCCCACCTAAATGTTGTTTGGAAAAGAGCCTAGTGGAAGCGTTTGTTTTCGGAAGAGTTGTACAGAGCACAGTCACTTTTGACGCAAGGAGGTTTTTGCTGGAATCCTTTGTCGACAGAGCAGCTTGCACGCATCAGTTAGCCTGCATTTGTGTGTGCTTTCCTCTACGCAAGTACTTCTATTTTCCTTTTTTCTGGTTGGAAGACTAGCCTGGGGGTTGTGGGACCTATTGTGGTTTTCGAATTTGTGGTCGATTGGGGGGGGCCCCTTCCCGTGCGGTGGGTCGAGCGCAAGTCCTGCGGCCAGTTGACAGCCTCCTGGATGCAGCAGCCGGCAGTGGCGAGGACGAGCGGCTTCTGATGCCGCCGCCGACGCTTGGCTGGCGGTTTTGGGCAGGTACCTGGAAGACATGTGTTTCTCTTGAAGAGACCTCCGTCACATGCCATGCTCGTGGAAGGGAGGGTTATTCAGAAGCCACCTGCTTTGCAAGGGCATCTTGTGAATCGGCTGCTAAACGTGATTTTCAATTGGCCCAAATGTATCCCCTCCTTGACTGGAACTTGTTGCATGGGCACGTGCTACTTTGGGTGCACCCGTTGTTTTGTTTGGCTTAAAAAGGAAACCAAAGCAACGCCTTTGTGGGGTCCCGTATTTTGACTACCCACATGGCTCCCTGCTTTGCACAATTGAGATTCAGCCAGGCGTGATGCAGAGGGTCGGCAAGCCACACCTATTTCAGAGGATGGCAGTATTCGACCAGCCCCACCGTCCCAACCCTTGAGTTTGCGCGAAGATCGAATCTAGGATATAGATTGCATGTTTTTGTTTTCCTCATTTGTGCTTGTGGTGTTTGAATATTTTCTTGTATTGGATAGTGATAGGTGGTCAATTTCCTGTAGAAAACTTTCTAACTTGCGATCGTATCTTGACATTACATTATCATGATTATCTTCTTATTTGCTCAGTCTGCAGTCGGTTCGGTTTTCACTTCGAAAGCACCCTCTGATCACGTTCCACAGACAAGACACCTGCTCACTTGGCGCGGAAATTCGGCAGTACAGTAGTACAGGTACCGCGACCTTTGATGGTTGTCCATATTTCCCTAGGGTTGATTACCAACCCACCAGCAGGCTATGGTAAACTGATCCCATTGCAATGTTTCCCTACGGGCTTGAATGGGAGGTGGACATGGGTAAACACGCGACTTTGGGCAGCATCCACTCGCCTGGAACCTGAAGGCTTGAAGGCTCTGTGAGTTCCATGGAAGCACGGACAGGAGCATAAGCAAAATAGAGGTGTGCGCGCGCGTGTGTGTGTGTCAAGACAGATTAACCCCTATGGATGGTTTCCTTTTTCCCTTTGAACCAACCTAAGGGTACACATGGATTATCAGCGAGCGCCCAGGTCCTTTGTGCCCAAGAAGCGAGGCGCGCACGGGTTGCTCCCGGATTCTTTGGCTCGCAAACCTATGGAATCTCTGGTCACTGTCCCGGACTGCCCCTTGAATGAGCATGGCAACAAGGAGGAACAAGCATGTTCAGTGGGTATTCTTTGACAATTTGAGCTAGGGATTCTGGCTCGGCACGGACCAGTCCTCTGGCATTCTTTCGTGTCTAGGATTTGTAGCGCGTTCAACCAAGCGCAGCATTTTTGCTATGCACTGAATGATGAGTTGCTCATGGCAAGGCAGACACAGTGCACGCCCAAAAGAGCAATTTGTCCCTGAACATGTTTTCAGTGCTGAACGCCTTTACGGCAACTCTCCCATTCTTAAGCGCAACCACCAAAGGTGGTTGTTTGTTTCCAGACCCTTCTGTTCTACTGTATTGTGGATCGTGCGTCCAGCCTTCATATTCAATCCAAACACACCGTGGAACTAGCCGGTGCTCGATGATTAAGTAGCCTTTGGTTGGAGTGACCCTATGTTTTTGAGAGTTAACCATCGGGTTTGTGTCGGTATGATAGTCACCGTGCAGATACCGTGGATGCCCTAAACCTTGCAGATCAGGGATACCCTTCGATCTACCGAACAAGTATCCTTCCTGTTGGTGATGGTATGGGTTTACTTGCAATACTTACAACCATCTACTGTACGCAAGGAGCTCGGTTGTCCGATTCCGACGGTTTCACCTTTCTAGTTCGTTACCTATCTACTGTGGGTCATTGGTTCCAAGGCTAGTCTGCGAATGGCTCCGCTGGGCGCTTTGCGCTCGGGGTGCTCACGTGGCTTTGTTGTTGATCCGACGGTAGATTCACCAAGGGTACGAAGATGTATGGCCAGTGGCGGGATCCACACAGCTATGTAGACCCAACCAAATCATGAGTGTAGGTTTGTGAACCACAAAGGATTGTCATGACGCAACAACGGCCATGACTCAAGGAGATTGGACAAAGCTGCGAGGGGCTAAGGGGTTGGCATGGGGGTAGAGAAGGCATTGTTATAATTTTGGTTGCCTGTGGTCCAGGGCTACCGTTCTCTCGGCTACGTGCCCTGTCCCAACCGGACGTTGGCGCTGTCTTCGTATTTAGATCGGGTTAAGCAGGCGAACCGGTTCTTTCCGCAGAAATGCGCGGGACGTTTTACGCCCCAACAAATTAGCACGGCTTGCACAAAAAGGGTGTCCCAAAAAAGGGGGCTTCCTCTCTACATGCCATGTTTCTTTCTGGGTTCCATGTGAATCTGCAGGGGAGAAATCTCAACAAATACAGGTTTTGTGGGGCGCCAGCGCGTGAAACCTGAATTGAGAAGAGACGGTGAAACCTTTGGAGGCAAGAACGCCAAACTCCTAGAGCGCCAGCCCGCCGTTTTAAACCGCAGGCGAGGAGGCGAGCAGTGGCTCTGGCACAGGCCGGCAAACAGCGGAGAAATGCAGCGAGGGACGGGGATGAACATCCCAGAAAACTCCTGACTTTCCAGCTGGTGAATAGAACATGGTGCAAACTTTTTATTTGGCTTGTCCGGTTGTTCTGAGTTCACGAATCGTTTCTACCCTCATTTTTGGAAGGACTGTGACTGAGCACAAGAAGTTCCCGCACATGGGGTGCACAGGTTCGTCCACGCTAGTTCAAGTGGGGGGTAAATGCGATCTGACCCGAAGTGAGGTCTATGAGGACCTAGGATAGGTTGATAGGGGATATCTTCATACCGGGGTTTGATTCATAGACCGCAAGCGCACACCGACCGGAGCTGGGCGGTTGTGGCTTCTCTGCTGGGGAGCTCGGAGCTAATTCAGTTTGGGCAAAAAACACATGTATACCAACTAATTACTGGGGACATATATGACTGAAGCTGTAATTCGGGATATTGGCATCAAACAAAAGCCATTTGGAGATTCCAGCATGGGTGCGGGTGTATGCAATATCATGCCTCGCCTTTGGTGGCAGAATCGCCCAGACTTGGAAACAATTGTTGTTTGTCGATTAACCCTGCAAGTTGTACCTTGAGAGTGCCCCGCAAGCCCCTAAGAGGCTGCGAGGCTGGGCATGCCTCGCTCAAGGGAAATAGTTGCACCGGCTAGGTGCACATGGGCCTGCGGGTAGGTAATATGCATGGGTGTTTCTCAACTTAGGCCCACCAGGTGGTTGCTGGCCTTTTGGCTTTCCTTTGAGACTTAAACACTATCAAAAAGGGGTTCCCCTATCTTGAGACAGATATATATATATATATATATTATGTATATATTTGAAACACTAAATAATTGGCCTTTACACATCGTGTGAATCCTGCCAGTTTGATGAACCGCGATTAGGATGTGCAACAGTGACCCTCGATTTGACATGGGAAAGTTGAGTCCGCCCTGTTTTCCGCCAGCCCGCCGTATCCCCAAGTTTACCATAGACGACAGGGCACATTGTTTAAACCTAAAAGGCGCGGATGTCGCCCGTGACACCATGAGATTCTTTCGCCGTAGGCGCCCTCTTTGGGGCGAGCTCGCTCAGTTCCGTGCCATGGCCAAGAATCGGCAAGACAGGAGGGGCCGGCCTTGTGTACCTAGGGCGGCTATGGGGAGGGGGCTGTCAAGTCCCCTACGGCATACATATGGAACCAGTCAAAAAGTCACTTTTGCCAACTGACTTAGAGGATCTCCTTGTACAGGTGGGTTTTGGACGTATCCTTTCGGAACCCCTAAGTTCCCTGACGGGCGAAGGAGGGTATGAGGAGGGGGTGCTGTCACTGAAAACGGGGCTGATCTGTTTCTTGTACTTGGTCAAGGCCCTAAATCTGCCAAAGGACATGCTGCCTACAGTTGGGTGACAGAAGCCACAACCTCTCCACTTGGGCTCGTCCTCCGCATCAATCGCTGGCGCAATCTATGTTCACACTGTACTTTATGGCGAGGTTGCTTTGGGCTGAAACCAGAGTACCCATTTAGGACAGGGGTCCCTCTAGTTGCCGTTTTGGTGCTTGCCAGCCTGGATCCTTTGGGGGTTCGATGAGGCTTCGGAATTATCACCAATGATAGTAAATGCAATCTCCAGGGCGGCTCCGAATTCCCTTGTTGGCTCCATGTTTACCCTCTGCACAGGGAACGCTCATAACGGTGACTTTGGTTTCAGGTTAGGCGAAGGAGACGTAATCGTAATGCCTGGCCGGTCAATATGTTTGGCATGAAACTGCCCTCTTGTTTCGGGGTTTAACTATTTTTCCATGAAGCATGGCCCTGACGAACTCAGAAAAGGATCGCTTTATGCAGCAATATGCGTTCTCTTTTGGGGGAACCAATATGGAATCCCATTGCGTGATTCCGAGAACCCAGCTGAGCTCTGCATTGTTAAACCACCCTGGAGCCTCCATCGTGGAAAAAAATATGCCTCCTGACACATTGTAGCGTTTTTCCTCCACAACTGCTTTCGAGCATTTTTTTCGGATTCGAGCAGTCATCAAGTGCGGTAGTTTTTTCACAGGGGCGAGTTTGGGAAGTGTCATTAACGAAACGAGCGCAAACAAAGTGCCAAAACGAGCGCAAATCGGCGCAAAACAAGTGCAAACAAGTGCAAACGAGCGAAATACCCAAACATGGTACAGGGAATGGGCTCCGACGGGCGCATGGTCGCTGACAACTCGAGCGATTTTTGTTGAATCGTACATGTTTTTTAGAGCAGGTTGTCACGAGCAGAAATATTTCGAGCAAACAATAATGTATCAATGCAGGCAATAGGCCGAATGGGAGCCCCCTCAAAATGCGGTGGGGGGGGGGGGGCAGTGTTCCATTGGTTTCCTTGCAGACAACCCCCAAATGGGTACCCTCGATTCGAGCTGCATCCACCCATGTTCCCATCTTTGGGCCCCGCCGAGTAGAAGGCTCATCGGGTTAAATAATATGTATGCTCTGCTGCGTCGAGACATATCTCTATATATATACATACGGACAAAATGCGCATACATATGTATATATATATATATGTATATACTGCATGCATTACATACATATGCACCTACAAGGTTTTACATAGACCATGGTTTGCTGAATTCAGTAGCCATGGTATGATCCAAGGTATATGAATGTGGCAGGGGGAAATTCGCAATGTTTGCTTGGCGGTTTGGATTTGCTTGGTTTTTGGATTTGAACCCCTTCTTGTAAAGGGTAAATGGGCAACCACCCAACCTCAGCTCCAAATGGGGCTTACCACCAAGAGGGAAGCTGAAAGGCAAACTCTCGCCAATGTGAGGTGCTAAGGTGGGAGGAGTTGTACCACCCTCTTGGCAATGTTGAATCACATCGACGCATAAATTTGGGGAAATCGAACTATTTTCGAGGGTAGAGGTCCAGGAGTCCAGGTACCTTTGTCATGTCCGACGAAGTTTCCCCATCCGTTGTGCGTTGCTTTTTGTTCACCGAGGGCGGCGCAGACAGCCTCTTCGGAGCACCGCCGCTTGGCATAAGGCAGTGCTGTGATACCAGAAGCCCGGTCTGTTAGAACCCCGCACCCCCCTGTTGTACAGGTCAATTGGGGATCGTCCCAACCAAAACCTTATGCAGGGCAGCCTTTACCATCCGTTGTATGGTTTTGCACTTTGCAAGGTTCATCCTGAAATAGATATATCGCAAAGTTGTGCAACCAGTCAGACATGCGATAGAGCTCACAACAATCACAAGCAAGAAATTGTGTAGATTCATACTAGACACTGCTATGCATCAGGCATGTATCGGGACAGTGAAGAACTATGTTTCAACTCATAGTCAATCTGATTCCATACTATACATATATACTTTAATACTGGAAACCACGTATAACATATTGCATGCTTGACATGTGCTTGACACGTGCTGACATATGCCAATTGCTCTAGAAGTATGCTAGGCCTACAGCAAAGATGCTAGTCAACGTCGAATGAGTAAACCTTCCTCCCCAGAAGGTTAAACCTTGACCTCAGATTGAACGGGTTCCCGGGGAGAAGGTGGTCTGGGGGAGCAGGCAGTTGTAGGTGGCCGCTCTGCAGGATTGAGGTCGCATCGGCAAGTTAGATAATAAATAGCGGGAATTGAAATCATCTGATGTTCTGTCAGGGAAAATGGTTCTGCCGAACGCGCCGCACTAATTAGGGGTTGTCCCGGAGGCCCTCGCCAGAGTTTTAGATGGCTTATGATTGCATCGCCCAAACGCGCCTTAGTAACCGGTGATATTGAGTAACCAATTTGACAGTGTAGACGTATGCTAACGCATTGCAACGCTATGTGCGTGCCTGTGTTTTCTTGTGCATGTTTGAGACATGGAGCAAACGATGGCTTCAAAAACAAAACCATTGGGGACACTGCCCTGTCTTTGTGCTTCTTACAGTGGGGCTGCGTGTTTAAACCATTACCTGAAAAAACGTGCTCTTTTCCCCCTGGCCACAGCCAAGTAATCGTGAGAGAGTATCAGAGACTGCCAGGTCTTAAAATAAAACCCGACGGCCGGCTTGACTCAGCTCGCAGACTTGGTGTGCAGGCAACACATTACATGTGCGAAACACAGACCCAGACGCCCCGTTTCTTTCGGAAGGAAGTCCGAAGCCACACCCTTGAGGTTTGCCGCGGCCGATGCCAAAGGCCGAGCGAGAGAAAGGGAGTGACCACCCAAAACAAGTGCGGAGGAGCCAAAGAACAGGCCGTTTTTGCTACAATTTCTCAGAAGTAAACTTGCTGGTGTGCGGGATTGCCTACTAGGGATGTGTACCAGGTGTTCATACCGGGGGTTGATATCAGGCGGTCATACCAGGGGTTCATGCCAGGGCTTGCTGGCGCGAGCAGAGACTCAGAAATGGTGTCTGACCCCGAGATAAACCATCCAACTGGTGGTTTCCTTTAAGGGGACCAATTCCTGGGTTCATTCACTCATTCAGCACCAGCAAGTAAACCAGCAAATTGGGGACATGTTCAAGCACCAGCCAGGTATACGTCTATTTTATGAATCCATGTTGAACCCGAAAGTGCCCGGATTTAGTGAGCAATGAGAAAAGATAAATTCTTAGTTAAGCGTTTAACCAGGGGTTTCCTACTAGGGATTTATACCAGGGGTTCATACCAGGGGTTGATATTAGGCATTCATACCAGGGGTTCATACCAGGGGTTCATACCAGATAGAGTTAGCCTTCAAGCGGTTTCGGTGTCAAACAAGCCGACAGCCTTGTATAGTTTGCAGTGAGGGGGATTGGGCTTGATCCGGAAGGAAATCCCAGTGCACACATGTTCAAGGTCCTTTTGGGTTTCCTTACTTCAAATGTGGGTGTCTTTTTTGAGGGTATCCGTACCCTTTATCGGTGGTTGCGTTTTGGGGTACAGTACCAATTCGGCGACACACCCGCGATGGAATCATTCATCTTTCACCTACAAGTGTGAGGGACTTGAATGGCGGAATGCCTCCAAGATGCGATGGCCATGTGCGGCTCCCACCGGTGACTGGTGTCTCATAGTTCAGTCATGCCTGACGGTTTTTGAACCCAACCAGGGGCTTTTATCAGGGCTCCGTAGACGCACTACTTCTGCCTTGGACGAGTGGTTGTTCTTGTTTGCTGCCAAAGTTGCATTCGGCTACCGTGCCATCTGGGAGTGCAAAGAGCCCCAGTTGTTCAGTGGAACCAATTTTCCCTTGTCCGGTGGTCCCCACTAAAAGGGCCAACGCTAGGGTCACTGAACAGGGACCCCCTTCCTGGAAGAAAGCTGATTGGTCGAAGGTCGACCGGTACTGTTCCACAGGTGAAAAGAATTGGTCGCTTAGCGCAGTTCCATGGGCGCTTTGCTTGAAGTGCACAGTTGAACCTACAAAAGTTGGTTTGTTAAAGTAATACGTGTTGAGCTGGTAGCGCATTCTCCAATGCCTTAATTAGAGCCGAAGCTGCTTGCTTGCCACCGCTTGCCACTGGTTTCCGAACGCAGGCGCAGAGGCTGCATCTAGCTGCGCAGCTGCAAGAGTCGGATGTAGGACAACTGCAAGTCAGTTTGGTTTGGGATCGGAGCCTCTGCACGACTTCCGATCGCACCACTCTACAACCAGGGTTGAAACAATTTGTTTGGTATTTGCAGGGGAATCATCCTTCCATTCTTGGGTGGTGCAGGATTTCGTCCAGACCCTGACGGGGTGGGTTCAAGGGCTTGCAAAAAAACGAACCCTAGGAAGCCTGAGGGTTCCGTACGGAGCACCAGCTGCACTTGAAACCAATTGAATTGGATATTATAGTTTCCCTCACGGCCATGCGATCATCCTCGTGATCCTTTGCCCTGACCGAAGCTGGGAGCATCTGCAGTATAAGCAAAGCACCCACGGAATATATGATCCCAGTTTACCTCTATAGTAGGTAACCAACTATTTTCCTCTTGGTTTGCAACGGGTGGTTTTCTAACGGTGTTCGGCCAGTTCTGCAGATTGGTCCTCTAACGGATCCTTCGGGCGCAAGGTTTACTTTTGGATCCCCTGCTAGGGAAAATGAAAGGACCGATAAACGTGTGGAAACCCACTTGGGGCGGTTCCCTTGATTCTCTAGAAAGGTCAAACGCCAAACCCTGGCTACACATTGACCCAGGCACCAGGGGTGCTCTTTGTGTCTGTTTTTTTGCAGGAGGTGTCCCAGGGCAATGGGGGAATGGGTTACATCAGTCTCTGTGGGTCCCGGACACCCCCTGCGTTTCGCGAGGTTCCGGTCTGTTCTCTTCGAGCCCTGCGCCGGCCACTCCAACGGTCAAAGAGGCTCGACGTGTGTAATGGCGCTCCAAACGGGAAGCACAGCTTTCTGACCTAAAAGAACTGACTCACCTTTTCGCTCCTTTAATACCCGTTGGTTTACTTCATCTTCCTTTTCAACTGTCAAGAGTCAACCTTTTGCAAGCCTCTCTTGCCCAAGGCCAACCTTTTGACCTTTTGCTTTCCCTGTTTTGGTCCATTTTTTGTCAAGGTCCCAAACGGCTAACCTTCTACTTCCAGGCACTGTGGGCAATCAAGAAGGCCGATTCTAAGTCTTGCCAAGTCCAAGGGTGGCCGCAAGCCAACATTTGGGGCCTTGGCGCCCTGGACTTGGTTTCGGGGCCATTTTGGGTGCAAAGCAACCAGCTTGAACGTTTGATCAACCCGTTGGAAGCGAGGCCGTTGGAAGTCCCGGACTTGTGGGTGGCAATTCCGGACTTGTCAAACATAGCCCCACGCATGGGAAGGACGGCTTAGACAGGGTGTCTCCTTGCTTCGAAACCAACATGTCTCAACATGGGCACCCCTCTGATTGCTGTTGTTTTTCTCATATAGGCATTGTGCCCCTTCTCAAAATGGGCACCCCTTCTCATATAGACCCAAGAAAAGTGCATTTTTTTGTTTGAGGGCGCCCCCTTTTTTATAATGTTAAAGGGAAGCCAAAAAGGAACTGCACACTTTGAATCTTTGGGGGCCACTATTTTGCAGCAACCCCTTTTCGATGGTATTTAGCAGGAAGCCAAAAGGAAGCCAACCGTAGGGGGGTCCCTTGAGAAATCCCCAAAGACCAAACCACATTTGGGGTGGCTTAGGACCAATTTTCGACCCGAGACAGCATCAAGGGCGCCGGGGCTTCCGGATTTTGAGACATCAGAACCTTCCAAAATGGGTGCTGGTCTCTTGTGGTTTCGCTTCATTCAGCACAAGCCCAGAAAGGGTACCCTCAAACAAACAGCATATAATACACCCGGATTCGCGGATTGTAACTATAATCCGAAGCGCTATAAAGCTCTTTGAATGCTAGACTGGGAGTTATGTCGAGAACAAACACGACATAGTGACACGGCAGGCATTGGCTTTAGAAATGACTGCCATCCCGAAGCAAAAATCAGTGGCATTACATGAACCCATGCGCATGGCATGTGTACTTGTATTGATCATTCAAAACCTTGCCGACAAAGAATCGGAAACAACAAACACTAGACTCCGGGTTTATACCACGCACGTTGTGGGTGGGGGCTCTTGGTAGGCTAATCCTAAACCAGCATTTAGTTCCACTTAGTTGGGGGTGGCACCGATATTAGTTGAACACCCTTGGTCTTACAAAAGTCAAGCGGTACCTGCGTTCTGGTGGGATATGTTTGTGAGCCGGTTGAAACCACGTATGCGCGGCTTCGATGCGTGGCTTCCACAAATGGGAGGTAAACCCCTGGTGCCATGCGCCAGGCCTACAGAGAGCGAATTATGAAGATCTACCAGCAGCACAATCCAAGCAAACTGCCGCTTTGCACGAGTTGTTGTGCTGAGTTGGACGGAAACTTCCAAAATGGGCCCCTTAGCCCTCCAAACATGAAGCGCGCAGTCCAATCTGAGGAGGGACAGTAATATACAAGACTCCCGACTTTCCCCTTGAATCATCCCAACAAAAGGGAGCTCACTTTGGATTGGCCCGGTGATGTTTAAAGCCAACAGGGGCAATATTGAGAACCCTGTTGGATAAGTATTTGAGCTGCGCAGTCGGAAGATGTTGCATCAGAGTGCGTTGTACTCTTGCGAAGGTCCTTTCCATTCTGTGCTGAGCAAAGTGAACATCATAGGAGATCAGTCAGCTGCTTCGACTTTGTCAAAGTTAGAGAAGGGTGTTGCGGGGTTTCTCCATTTCATTTTTTGGAACCCATCAACGTTGCGTGTTGAATATACAGAAACCACCAAAAAGTAGTGGCCCCAGTGTCGTTTCCTTAATCTACCTCTCAGGGGTGACTTTGAAAAGTCTAGTTGGGGTTGTGGGTCCCTTAAACTGGCTCCATTGTCAGAGTTTCCCAGAATTACTTTGGGGGGGGGCGGCCCTTGCAAACCACTATGTAGAGGGTAATGATTCGGGACATGTTGCAAAATAACATTCACGAAAAGAGAGTCTGAGCCACCTTGCTTCCCTTTAAACCATCATTTCGGGTTAGTTTTCAGGATGTCACTTTACCGGATCCAGTTGGTTTCGAGGGATGAGATCGACACGCTCATGGCCAAGTACGTGGGCCAGGAGCACACGATGTACCTCAAAGTCTGTAGCTTGGCAGCAGCCGAGACACCATCTAGGGTGGTTACAGTGGCATACCGTCCGTTTCGCTCGGGGGTAGAGATTTGAAGCCCAACACCCCCTGGTCCAATTCATTCCAAGGGAAACAAAGAGGAGTTCTTGTAGTCTGAGAAAGTGGGGGGTGGCCCAACCCTGCTGGTTTTTCACGCACCCCGAGCCCGTGCAAGTGAGCTTTCTTCAAGGTGGAGAAGAGAGCCTTTTCAAGGGGTATCATGGACATCCCTGGGGACCACCAGCCATCCATGGAACCTGATTGGAGGCCCCAAGAAGACGCTTTTCCTCAGCCAACCGGAGAGATGGTAAATTACAGGGCGTTGCCTTGCGCTCTATTTAGGGAATCAACCTTATCACAGGTTCACTGAACCCAACACTTGATCGTCTCTTGGGTATCCTATTGGCGGTAAAAAAACCGGACCTCTCAAACCATGCTTTGAACTGCTCTGTCAGCACCAACCAAAATTGTCTAATATAATAGTTTTTTGCAGGGGTTCTTTCTTGTTTGGGGTTCTCAGAAGAAAAGAGGATCCCCAAAAATCAGTAGGCCTCATATTTGCCTCTGTCCCAGGGTCTGGATTTACAACGTACCCTCCCCATGTGTTCAGCGACAATTCCCTGTTGTGTTGGATGGCTGGCTTACAACCAATTGTTGTACCGCTGATTGAAATCCGAAGATTTACGTAATTAGCTTCTATGGTTTCATTTGGTGGCAAGGGAGCGGTTCAAGCTTTCAACCGACTGTCTTGTTTCCCAGTCAGGAGGCAATCTCAAAACTCAGCTCGCTTCAAATCCACAGGTCCCACGGAAATTCCAAGCGGAATACAAACCTTTGCGCCCAACCCGCGAGGCAAGAAGTACAACGTGAGCCCGGAGCCAGAGATCAAAGCGGAGACCAGCCCAGGCGCGGCTCAGGCTTGAGATGCCAGGAGTTTGCGGCCGCAAACTGGAAAATGGACCTCCCAAGCAGTCTCTATTGAGACAAAAGACAAATCCGGCCAATTGGAGGCACTTGGGGACAGTTCCAATAAATGGATGCGGAGATCCCTGCATGGTTGTGGAGCATTGGATATTTGGGAAATGCCCCTGACAATTGACACCGGCTTTCGGTCTCACAGTTAAAGTGCTTTGCATCGCTCAGGCCCCAGCGCGTCCGGACCCCTCGCCGGGTCTCTCTTCGGGACCGACTCAGGCGCCTGAGTCGCGAGTTGGGCGGTTTGGACAGTCGCTGCAGTTTCGGTGACCTTCACACGTAATATGGCTGCGCCTTTCTTTGGAGGGGTGCCATTGTTCATGTTGGTGTTACAGGAAAGGCAAAGAGCACACTACGATTTTGAGGAATTTGAATTATCTGTCTTATTTGACACAAACCCCATGTTGCTGGCTTCCTCCAACCAACAACCGCCGCCCTTCTTTTCCAAGACCAGCTTAAGGGTGGTCAACATCCACTGTGAGTGGAGGGGACAACCCGACCTTTTCGCAGGTTGCGAACGCGGAAACAATTGAGCCACACAGGCGGAAAATTAGGAAAACATGGTATTGGGCGTTGTAGCACTTGCGTGGTAGTAGGGCGGCTTAAATGGACACCAACAGAGCACCAGTCTTGGGCGCCACATAGAGACAAAGCCATACAAGCAATCCACAATGATCCCCGGAATTCGTCATGGCCCCTCCTAGTGTGCGGCAAACTTGTTGAAACGGCTTGCTGCGCTTGTGAGCCTGATGTGAGTCTAAGAATATCCTCCTGCGGCGTGCTTTCGCGATGCATTACTCCACGGTACTGGCCATTCCGGAAACTTTAGCCTTCCAACAAAGCAGATCCAACTTGACCTTCTGCAGCAGCCTCAGAACCCGCCGAGGCGTGGGGCACATCCGAAAGGTTGAAAGTTGGCCTTGCTTTTGCAACTTTTTTTGGGTGTGGTCCCTAGGTTTGCCCCCAAACCATGCAGGTTTCAGCCACCTCGGCCTAGGCTCTTTGTTCGGAGCCAGCAGCGGAGGAGGCAGCAGTAGCAGCGCCGCCACTGGCGCCAGCGCAGCATCTGGCGCAGGCAACCAGCGCGAAATGAGCTTGATAATTTTACATCCCGCCAGCTACTTTTTGGATTTTGTTACACGATTTGTTGGTGATGCTGGGGATGCTGGTCGGACATGCGGGGGATGTTGAAAACGATGCTGGGGATGTTGACGGGCTACCCTAAGCGTCCTAGGCCTCTCTTGGTGAGGCCTAGGCCTTGTTGTGTTGGCGAGGCCTACTTTTGGAGGCTCCAGGGCCTTGCTAAGTAAGGCCTTAGGCCTTACTAAGTGAGGCCTTAAATAGTATGTTCCTTTTCAAGGCTTAGGCCTTGAAAAGTATGTGTGGCAATCTTGACATCTTTGGGGCCACCTTTTTTCTCGAAGAGTGCTAGAGGGGATCCATCCACAGGAAATTGCCCCTGAGGCAGCTAGCCCTACGGCCAGGCTAGGAGGTGTTGATGCAGGGGCAACGCATGTGTTTGGCACTCGTGGCAGGTAGCAATTCAGACTATGCGTGTGTGATTTGACAGGCACTCCTGGGATCGAATTCGATTTGTTCAAAAAGAAAAGCTTTGTGGCTGGGTACCGCCTGGACCGTGGACAACCCGCCTCGAAAAGCCGTGGAACGGCCCCGAAAAGTCATGGTTTGCCCGTGGACAGGGGTATATTTGGGGGTACCCCTGCATTGACACGATCCGGGACGTGTTTTGTTTGGAGGCCCGCGAGAAACTGAAATCAGTGGAACCTTTTGCCTGTGTGGACTTTTGGTGGGGCTTAATCCATGCTCTCTTTGCCAACTCGCGCTGGTTTAGACGCTCTCTGAAGATGCAGCGATAGCGAAAGGGAATCAAACACGCGATCAACCCAAACGAGCTCTCTGCATATTAGTATAGTTAAAGCATCGTGCGCATTTCGGCTGGTATTACTAGACGAAACGGTGATTTTTTAGCAAAACGGCCCTGGGGAGGCCTCAAAAAGGCATGGTTACTCAGCACCGATAATCGGCAGGATACTCAATGAGGCCTTTTGACCTTTTTGAGGCCTCTTGTCAGAGGCTGTCTTCGAAAGGCCTTTGGACTCTGAGGGTACTACGTCAATTTCGCGAGAAAATACTGTAAAATACTACATTTTGCTGGCCCGGACGAAAAACGGGAGAAGAAAAAAAACAGACAAACATCCTGAAATGAATCCGCACCCATTTTGCATTTTCATCATCATCATCATCATCATCATCATCATCATCATCATCATCATCATCATCATCATCATCATCATCATCATCATCATCATCATCATCATCATGTCACACTCATCACGCTCGTCACACTCATTACACTCATCACACTCGTCACACTCGTCGCAGGCATCATCACCATCACCATCACCATCATCATCGCCATCATCGTCAACATCATCACGCCACAGATACGTGTTTGTTCGAGTTGGGCACAATCGCTTCCAGATTCCATGTTAGTCGGCAGCATTCGCAACCCCTTTAAGGGAAAAAGGGGACCGGGCCCCGAATGTTTGTGGGTCGCTAGTTTGGGACAGGGGCCACTGCGCGTTCCAATCTCCATCGAGGCTACGTCAGGCCGATATACGCAGTGTTCCCTGGTGGGGCAAATAATTGAATTGCTCGCAAGTTATTTTCCAAGAACACGTGGCAATGAAGGAGGGTCCTGGTTTTGGGGAAAACCCTGCGACGCAAGAAATCGTTGGCCCATGTTGGGAGGGAGCAAGCTTGGCCAAAAGCAGGTTCCTGCATTTGGTCATTAAATGTATTTGTTTAAGCCCTGCTACATACGATAAGTACGATGGCTATTATACATACATATATATATATATATATACTGTACATGCAGTAAACATGTTTAATATCATATTGTCTTATGTGAATATGCAAATATGTTCTATGTGTTTTTTTTTGCATTGCATATGTGTACATTAAGGGCATATTGAGTGTCGGACATGTTGTGGGCTGTGGTTTGGTTACTCGGCATCGTACCTGAAGGCCTCTTCGGATCGGCAGCGCCGGCGCCGGCAGCGCCGGCAGCGCCGGGAGCGCCGGGAGCACCGGGAGCACCGGGAGCGGCAGTGGACGTGAAGCAGGCGGCGTCTTGGGCCTGGGACGTTTGGGACCCATCCCAGGGGGCCTTAGCCTATGGGTCGGCCCACGTGGGCAACCCGCAAAGCGTTGTGTACTTAACAAAGCCTAACAGAGCCTTGCACTTGACTTTGAATTTGATGAACAAAGACAAAGCAACAAATTATCGGTTTAAACTGGTCGATCGTGTCCTCGATTTTGAATCACACGCATACCAAAGCACTCGCTCGGGGTTTGGGGAGTGAACTGTTTGGGATCCCGGAAGGGAACAAGGGACTCACACGGGTCATTCCCTCAACCCCGCTGAGTGTGTTTCCTTTGAGACCCATATGCTTTGTAAAAAAGACGAGTTCACTGGGCGAATTGGGCAGATGGTTTCCACGTAAGTTGGGGATCCGGGACCCCACCTTGCAGCTTCGCGATGCCGGTGTGCGACAATGGGTTTGGGTTCATTGGACATGAGCGGAAGTTCGCAGAGATGATCTCTGATGTCTCTTCCAAAACTATTGCATATTTGGGGGGTAGACTAAATATGACGCAGAATCTGAAAATAGTATTTCCAGTGACCCAGCTTGTGGGCCAAAAGCACAGCAGTTTCCACTGTTGGCCATGTGCCTGCCCCATGGCGTCCACTCGTCAGTATACGTGGTGAATCACCAACCTTGATGCAGTACACCAGGGTGAGAGTAGATGGCGCATCTTCCAAAAGAGAGATGACTCAACCAACATGTGGGAGTTGTTCCATCTACTTTCACCCAACTGCAATCGCTACGGCCCACTTAGCTGTGAGAAACCTTTGTTGGCTATATGTGCTTGTGCGCGATATGTCACAATGGGCACATTGTTTCATACATGTAAGAAAATGTACGCGCTGCATATACCAGACCACCACCCTGAAACATTGGTTACCCCCAAATACTGGGTTGATTTCCAATTTTAAGGCAAGCTTGAGGGGTATCCTACGCATATCAACCGCCGGAGGTCACTTGAGGGAGCGGCTCTCAGGCATGCATCCCGCGCTGTTAGAGTTGTTGGAGTCCCTGCCAGGCCTACAAGGAGCGGATGGTGAAGATCTATCAGCAGCACAACCCCAGTAAGGTGTGCCATGGTTAAACGACCTGTGGTCATGGGCCCCGTTCGCATCCATGAGATGGGGCTCCTTTTCAAAAATCCCATACCCTTAGCTGGAGCAAAAGCAACCCAATTCAATAGTGACTAGCTGGTGCCTCTTAGTAACCAGCTGGTGCCACAAAGGACCACTCCTATGTCTCAGACCTTCCTATGGCTTCCTTGTTGCTATGGCTATGCCATCTTTCTCTTACTTGATGTACATGAATCTGGAAAAAATGCCTGGGACAACTTCACGGGTTTCTTCAAGCTTTTGGATACTTCCTGGGTCGCCTTTGGGTGTACTTGTGGTTTCTTCTGTCACTGGGGCCACTTCTGCAGCTACTTCTGGCAGGCAGCCTAACGACGCGGCTTTTACTTTGGGGGAGTCAAGATCTATATGAAAAGCCTACCGTATGTTCTTACCTCTTGTACCCCCAGAAAGTACAGGAGTATCTTGCTTGACTTCTGGGCGACTTCTTGGACAACTTCTGGGGCAACCATTCTCGTAGGTGGCATAGCATGCTTATGGGTTTTACTTCCCGGGATACCTTGAGGCCAGTTTCGAGTTTCCTGCAAAATTGATGTACAACCAACACACATGCATTGTTGTTGGGATAGGGGAGCTCTGGCTTGATCGCATGACTGTTGAAGTTCGACCCTTTGGACAAGTGAGACGAGGCCGGTGTTGCTGTTGGGTCTAACTGGTCCCTTGTTTTAGGCAAGGCGCACGGAAGATGTTGGATGGCTATCCAACTAAGGGGATTCCTTCATCGCTGCTCCCGGGTCCCTGCTTGCTTTGCCAGCTTCCCACAATTCCAGGTGTCAAATTAGGGATTTGAACTCCAATATCACAAAATTTGGCTTCAGAGTTCAATTTGGTTTCAAGGGGGAAGCCGCGGGCTACCCTCAAAAAACGCACATGTCGAGTCATCAACGGGCTTACCATGGCTCACTTCCAAGGAATGAGATCGATAGCCTCATGGGCAAGTACGTTGGCCAAGAGCACACGATGTACCTCAAGATCTGCAAGAAGTACAACGTGCAACCAGAGCCCGAGATCAAAGCCGATGCAGGTGTGCTCTCCTGTTTGCTCGCTCACTGGCTTGGTTCGTTTGTTTGTTCGTTCGTTGGCTTATGATTTGTGTAATTGTTCTTTTCTGTAGGTTGTCGTGCACAACCAAGTGGCTCTAAATAGGGAATACATGGGCGGGATTCAATTGTGATTGCTATGGTGGGTAGTCAGGGTAGGTGTCATTTTGGTCACCTGAGGGCCGAAGCTCCATTCAAGCGATCTCTGCTTCATTGAGGACACTTGTTGGACAAGGAATTAAGTGTCCATTCGCGTTTGAACCGGCCACGTCGTTCCAGCGCAGTTGGGCAAGGCAAGGAAGGCTCAAGACTCCAAACCAGATCGCTGAGCATCACTATCACATATTGGGATCCATCAACCTCTCAATCAATGCGGGGGTGTTCCAGTTAAGTCTGGGCATCCTTCGCTTTTTGGGAATCTAACATAATCCGCTAGGTTGAATTTTCCGGGGTCAACGCAAATAGGGGGTGTGCTTCCAGTCGAGGCAGCCAAGCTGGAAACCAACAGTGGACTTGTTGGAGGCCTAAGAGAAGCTTCACACATGGGCCAAGTGTTTGTTTGATAGTCCCATGTTCAGGTTGGTTTAATTAAAGGGAAACCCAAAGGACAACTACCATTTTTTGGGTCCTTTACTTTGACTCCACTCTTCCGCAAGTTTCAACATGAGCTCCTGGGTGGTTTGGCAAATCAGGTGTCAGGATGCCAGCGCACTTAAGAAATGCCCGAGCACAACAAAGACGCAAGCAGCCTAAGGAAATGAAAGAATTTGCGGGTAAGTGGACCCAAATCTCCAGTTGTGCCCTTGTCTCTTGTTGTTGTGCCCTTTTCAAAAATCAACTACGCACAGTGTTTCTCCATATTGTGTCTTTATTGAGGCTACCCTTGCATTTCTTGCGGTTTTATGTGGGGTTCAGAAGGGAAACCAAAAGGAGAACTGCCAAGTTGGGGGGTGAAACCCGGACCCGCCAATCCATGTGGAGGTCTGGCCGGCGCCGCCGGTGCCGGAGGCCTCTTCGGCGGCTCCGGAGGCGCGTCCTTGTTGGGCGTACGGCTGGGGTGTGTCTCTTTTCGGACCCCCCCCCCAGAATCGAAATGGTGGTGTTCCTGTTTGGTCTTCCCTTTAAAACCACACGAAAAGGTTGTTCTCCAAAAAAAATAGAACAACAATCAAGAAGATATATAAATATATACATATTATAATATGAAGGGTGACTGGACAACAAGGTTGGACAGAAGCCCGTGGGTTTGCAGCACTGCCTGGGCGATTGCAGCCATTTCAGTTCGACTTACCAGCCATTGGCTGTGATGCTTGGATCCTGGCTAGAGCCAAGATTGATGATGTGTTTTTCAAAGCAGTGGTGTTCAACGTGGGCGAGCTATGGGAAATTAGAGTGTACGATGATGAAGGGCATGGGCAAGGCACTGTTGTGGTTTCTGTCACCAAAGGCTTGAAGGTCGCCCGTGAGGGTGCGTGGATAGAAGCCTCGTATGTGGCTGCCAGGTGGTGGATGTCAGAGGGAGAAGGCGCACGTCTTCGAGCACGGGGTGTTTACCACATCTGCGGGACAGATGTAGTTACCTGCACTGCGGTGAGGGCTCGTGAGAAACCGATCCACACTGACAGGCTTCGTTCCCTTGCCCTTGGTGACCTGACAAGTCCAGCAGTGCCCTGGCTGAGCAGCCCCGAGCCTAAAGCCGAAGTCGCGGCCTTCTTGTCCGCTCGGCAGGCTGAGGCCGACCCTGTGACGCGTGGAGATCGGGGCGGCCTCCCGGCCATAGAGTGGCCTGTGGATGGAGTGGGTGAAGCAGAACCTACCAGTGGCTCCGCCAGCAGCGACAGTGAGTCTGAAGAAGGGGTAGTCCTCAAAGAGAAGTTAAGGACTCTTCAGAAAGAGCTTGACGGCCGAGCTAAGAAGAAGTCAAAGCAGAAGGCAAAAAAGGAGCGGAAGCAGAAGAAGAAGAAGGCGGATGGCGTTGATCGCGGACGGAGCCCGGAAAAGAGAGAAGGGCGCCACAAAGATCGGCGACGATCTGAGGGCCGAGAACAGCGCGAACCAAAGGAGAAAGGCCATGGAGCAAAGCGCCACAAGCCTGGGCGCCGAGCTTTGTTTGCCCCGGCAACAGAAGCCAGTGACAGTGGCCGGGATGAGCCAAAGTCTTCCCGTGCAGCAAAGGAGGATCATGGGCTGTTTGGTGCCGGACCAGGCGTGAGATTTGGCGAGGATGCCGAGTCTGATGGTGAGTCCGACTCGCTGTTTCGCGAAGCCCCCACTTCCACCAGCAAGCAGATGAAGCTGGTGAGGTATGCTCAGGCTCGGCCGGGCCGCCTGGCATCTCGGCTCTTGCGGAAGATGCACGAGGCGGTGAGTCAGGAAGGGGGGGCGGAAAGCGCTGCAGGAGGTGTGAGGACTCCGGCGTCAGCGACTCCGTACTTTCTGGGGATCATGATGACCAACCTCAGGGACCGCATGAATCTTCGGAGTCAGAGAGAGCTTCGTACACTGGCACTGCTGCTCGATCTTCTGGCTCGCGGCAGGGCCGCCCACGCAGCAGATCTTGCAGCGCAGCGTGTCAAGGCGGTAGAGAAGTCAATCCAGGATGGATCATGGTCGCGCGCGCAGCATCTGGAACTGCTGCCACCGGAGAACGCAGGCTTGACCGAGAGGGACGAGGAGGTGTACATGACCAGCCAGGCCCTCTTGGACCTCAAGCTGCAGAGAACGGTGAAGAGCAGAGTTCCTGGCCCGAGGGAAAGGGCAAGAGCAGCGAGCGGTGGAAGGCCCAGGGTCCAAAGGGAAAAAAGGAGACGGCAAGAAAGGGGACAGCAAAGGGACCTGGAAAGGAGAGAGGAAAGAAGGCGGACAGTGACTGAGCGGCCGTGCAAGACGTCGCTGTCTCAGCTGGATGTCAGAACCCGAAGACAATTCAAGACTTATCAGAAAGGCTGGAAAGTTGGCTGTTTCAGTTACCCTCCCCGCTCGGGGAGGTGGTGAGAGGCGCAGAGGCGCACAACACACCACCCGAGGCCGCGTGGCCTGACGGGAAAGTTGAAGAGCTTTTCCCAACGCACGCTGCCGCAGTGACCGCCGCATTTTGCGGGGACGACCCTCATGTGGCAAGTTGGGCGCGGGCAGCGATCCATTGTCTCAACTACATGTACATGACTGGCCAGCGATGGAGGAACCATTCGCGCATGTCATCAGTGCTCAGGCCCTCGCAGAGAAAGGTGGTGGAGCATCTGGCAAATGCCGTCACAGGCTTCATGCAGGACATGTGTAAGCTCTTCAAGATGAGCATTTGGGCAGCCAGGCTAGGTTCCCACCGCTATGACTATGCTGGGGAGCCCATTGTGGTCATGGAAAGACTAAATGCTGCCAAAGTCATTGCGGCCTGGCCGCTGCCGGGTGAGGCAGCTGTGCAAGATGTGCTGCCTTTTGTGGATACGCGTATGCAGCTGTTGCTCGAGAACCCGGAGCAGTGCTTGAAGCCAGAGGGCGCTTGGCCAGAGCGCCCCCCAAAAGCTTGCGTCAAAGCAAGTGACGCTGAGTGGGACAGCGTCGTCCGCGCGGCGCGGGAGCGAAACATGATGGTGCCCGTTCCCTGGACTGCGTTTTCAAGGACCAACACGGGAACCCCGTTCTGAACGGCGCTGGCGCTGTGGCAAAGATCAAACTGTCGAAGGGCAGGAGATGTCTTGCCAGCGTTTCATCTCCAACTTGGTGCCGTCAAACAGCTACTCTCATCGCATCGAAGGCGATGACAAGTGTTTGCCCTGCTTGGGCCAGCTGACCTCAGAGGACCTTGCCTCATGCTTCAACCTGTTCAGGCTGCCGCCGCAGTGGCGACCGTACTTCTGCTTCGCAAAGCCCGTCGATGGCAGTTTGATGGGAGGCGTGCCTGGAACGCTTGTTTACCCAAGCATGGCTGTCGTCCCTACGGGTTGGCTATCATCAGTGGCAGTCATTCAATCCGTGGTGCGCCGGCTGGTGTTTACCTTGACTCCTTCGATGAGTTGCGCAAGCTGGACAAGGCGTGCGCTGCTGCCTCTGAGGGTCGCATGTCGGAACGTCATCGAGCTTTTTTGCAGACATGCCGCAGCTTGGGTCTTCCCTTGAGCCTCGCAAAGCAGTGCGTCGGCGCTGTGCGGGGCACCCTGCAAGGTGGCGAGCTTGACGGCCGCCGGGGAACTTTCGGGGTAGCCAAGGACAAGCAGCACAAGTACATTGGCTTGAGCCTGGCTCTTCTTGCGGCGCAGACTGTCACGGAGCACGATTTGCGCCATTGTGGGCTGGGAAGATGGCTTTCGGCTGCGCGTTCGCTGTTTGCAGCGATGCAAGAAGTGTACCTGGAGATAGAGCGACTGAGACATGCGCAAGGCGTTCTCAGCTGTAAGGCGGTGGATGAAGTTTTCGTTCTGGCGGTGCTCACGCCGATGATGTTTACCAACTTGCGTGCTCGAATGGATACACAGGTCATTTGCTCAGATGCTTCGCCAACGGGAGGAGGAATTTGCACTGCTGAGACCTTCAAGCGTACCCCTGACACGTGGCAGGGTGGCAGTTTTGACAGGTGTCATAACTGCAATCAGGAGTGGAGTGCTTGGGGAGCCTTTCCATGCCCGTCTTGATGCGGCGCAGTAGTTTGCTGCCTTCTTTGTGCGCAAGCGCACCGGGGTGTGGCCTGCCCCAGAAAGAGCTACCCCATGCCAAAATTTGTCGAAAGATGGCGCGCTGCTCGGCCATGCTGTCGCGCAAGCGGGCATTGAAGTGCAGATGCCTTATGATTGGCACTGGGGGTATGATTTTTTTAACGGAGGCTGGAAAACAGGTGCTGGCCGATCTGGAAAAGGACCCTGCCTTGAAGGCGGAGCACCATGCGCCGGAACACATGTACCTGTTGAAGACGCAAGCTTCGACCAGCCAGCCAGTGCGAGACCAAGGGCGCATCATGGGAGTTCCTTGGCTCGGCGCCAACATGAAGGCCCGCGTACGGCGAGCAAACGCCATGGCCAGCCGGTCCCTCAAGCGCGGCATGGATGCAATGGAGCAGGACAGAGTGTTCAGCCTAGAGCACGCGTGGGGATCGTGGATGTGGGACTTCTCGGCGGCAAAGACTCTGGGCGCGCTTACAGCGCCTGTGCTGTTTTGGCGGATTGTGAAAGCTGGTACGGCTTGGTGACTACTTCGGCTTCAACGCTACATCGCCCACGATGTCTGGGCCACCAGACACGTGGCGCTGAAGAACCAGAGGTTGAGTACCCGTGGCAGTGGTGCCAGGCTTTTGCCAGGGCATTGTCAATGGAGTTTGAGAAGAGGGGCTGGACTGAGGATGCGCTGCGCAGCGGTCGTATCTTGTGGGCAGAGCTTGGAAAATCCACTGCCCGACTGCAAGACAACACTGTCACAGAACCTGTGGCGCGCCGAGTTTGGTGCCTGGAGCTTGGCATGATGCCGGGCAACGAGGCGCAGCATTTGGCTGCTATGCTTCGAAGCACTTCGCACCGGGGCACAGAGGTGCTCCTGCTTGCCACTGCAGAGGACAACAGTTTGCAAGTTACCCCTTACCCGGCATACAGGTGGCTGTGGCGACGGCAAATGGCTTGGAAATGGCGTCATGAGGCGCACATCAACGAGCTAGAGCTGATTGCAGATGTCACTGCCGCCAAGCGCCGCTTGCAACATTTGGACAAGTTTCACACACGTTATTTGCATGTCCTGGATTCATTTGTTTCAACCAAAGCAATTGCTAAAGGAAGATCGCCAAGCAGACGCATCAACACGCAGCTACGCAAGCTCATGGTCATCTCTGTGGGAGCCGACATTTATCAGTTGCCTGTGTGGACCATCAGTCGGTGGAACTTTGCCGACGCCGCGTCAAGAGAAGGCCTCAAGAAAAAGGCATCTGAAGTTTGTCGGCTTGGCAGATCGGACCTTGAAGCTTTACCAGCGTGAGTTGGATGCGTTTTGGCGATTTTCTCGGTTTTCACCTAATTCACACATTAACTGGCAGCTTGCGGACTCCGAATTGGGCGAATTCTTGAACACTTCGTTTAATGAAGGGGATCACATTTCGAATGCTGGGTATTTGCTCAGCGCGTTGAAACGCTTTTACCCGGAATGCCGGTGGCAAATTCCTATTGCTACACAATACTGACGCTCGCCCAAGCGCTGGCGGGGATGGCTGCCCGTGTTGGGTGGTGGGATTTGGCAGCTCTGATTTTGGTTGGGTTCACTGGCCTACTTCGGACCCATGAACTGCTCAGTTTGACTTCCTCCAGTTTTACCTTTCACCCTGATGGTTCGTTTTTCTCTGTGGGACTTCCCTCCTCCAAAGCAAGCAAAGGAAATGCTGAAGTTGTGTCTTTTTCTGACCCTATCATTGTGCAAGTGGTGAAGCATGCGTTGCAGCACACAACCGGCAACTTTCTGTACTCCTTCGCCCCGAAGAGGTTCAGATTTGAGTTTCAATCTTTGCTGAAGGTTTTTGATTTGCAGGGTTCTTACCAGCCCTACGGGCTTCGCCGCGGAGGAGCCACGTGGTTTTTCTTGCAACTCGTAGCATGGATGCTACTATTCACAGAGGCCACTGGCAGTCTGTCAAAGTCGCTAGACAGTACATTGATGATGGGGTTTTGACCTTGTCCAACTTGTTGCTGACCTCCTCGCAGCAAAAGAGACTCGCTCGCGCGTGCGTTTTGGGCAACCTGCTTCGCAAGACGGCGGCACTTTGATGCCTGGTGATAAAAATGCCTTTGAGTGAGCAATGTGCAAATGGTTCCTAAACCTGGGGGCTCTTAAGCCTGCGCCTTGAGCTACTTACCGGGGGATCCCCGTGCCTGGCGTTTGTTAGCATATCCCATAGAATGCGCAAGTCCTGACTTGCTTGGCACATTGAGCTGCTTTGTGGTGTGGTGGCGTGTAAAAGCGCTAACAGAGCATGGCCTTGTGCTGCAAAATGTGAAGGGTGACTGGACAACAAGGTTGGACAGAAGCCCGTGGGTTTGCAGCACTGCCTAGGCGATTGCAGCCATTTCAGTTCGCCGCCTTCCTCCCCTTCCGCCGCCAGCATTGCTCCTGTTTTGGCTTTGTACCATGCACGTTTGACGGGCGTGTGTGTGCCAGTTTTCCGCGAAGGGCTGTGCAAATGGTTCCTAAACCTGGGGGCTCTTAAGCCTGCGCTCTTGAGCTACTTACCAGGGGATCCCCGTGCCTGGCGTTTGTAAGCACTATCCCATAGAATGCGCAAGTCCTGACTTGCTTGGCACATTGAGCTGCTTTGTGGTGTGGTGGCGTGTAAAAGCGCTAACAGAGCATGGCCTTGTGCTGCAATATATTTAATATATAAAGGCCCTGGTCTAGCCGGAGGATAGGGCAAAGGGTGGGAAAGTGAGAAAGCTCCAGAAAAGTGCGTACTGGGTGCTAATTAACACCCAGTGAGCGCAATTTGCTTTCCGGACTGCACTGGCGTCCACTATCGTTTCTTCTAGGAAGCCAAGAACATGCAAAGGAAGAGTGGGGCTTGAGTTAGGGCTACAAGCCAGCATTGCTCTAAGCACATACAATCACATATGATTCCCTCAGACCGCTCATTCATCAACTTGGTCTGATTTATGTATTTTTTTGAGCCCCCTTTCGAAGGCCCCCCTCAAAGCGCACCAAGTATAGACGCCTTTTTTTCCAGGGGTCCCTTTCGTCTTCCCCAAAGGGCTGGCTCAAAGGCGATCCATCGGCCAGGCGGATTGTTCGGCGCTTCCGGCGGCGGCAGCACCGGGGGCCTTTTCGGTGCCGCCAGTGCCGCCTCCACTGGTTCCGGCGGCCTCTTCGGGGCGTCTTCTGGCGGATCCAGCGGTGGCCTATTTGGAGGCGAGGGGGAGAAAAAACACCTAGAGGAATAGCCCCAAGCATGATTTTAGGTGCGGCAAGCCCTTTAACTCTTGGCATGGTTGCGGTAATTAGGCAATTTTAATAACAGGGGTTGATTGTGGCTCACATGGGTTTTGTCTCGGGAGCTACCTTCCAAACGGGAAACCGGCTGCCCTTCAGTTTTCCCCTGTCAACATAGAAGAGGTCGGTACCTCTCTAAAGGACCTGGAGATCAGAGGTCAAGCAGCGATTTGGTCAAGTCCCACGCAAACAGCTACCTTGGTTCAGTCAGGCGCTTCCTCTTCCTCCGCTAGCAGCCTCTTCGGAGCCGCCGCGACCTCCGGCGGCGGCCTCTTCGGCGGCTCAGCCGGCGGCAGTCCCTTTGGCGCATCCTCCGGCGGTGGCCTCTTTGGTGGGTCAGCTGGTGGCGTGGCGGCAACAGCTGGCCATGGGTCAAAAGCCCGTACCCCCAGTGAACATCCCAACCCCCACTAAAATAGACTAAAATGGGTGGTGCACCTACCCCAAAATGATGGTACCATTGGTTTTGTCCCACAGCCAGCTGGCTGTACAAGCGAACCTTCCGCATGCTGGCATTTTGACGATTCCCCAAATTCTTGCCAGGTTGGGTTTATTCCGGGGCCATAATTGGGTCGTTCCACGAACTTATTGAAATACCCTCCCACCAAACACGGCAGTGCACAGGCCCCTTTCCAAAGCGAGACTAGTTGACCAAAACGGGTTTGGGCACCCAGCCAATTCCAGTGGTCCCCCTATTTTGACGACATGCTCATGTCTCCATGGGTGCTTTCCCGTTTCTTCGTGGCGGTTCCGTTCACACGTCGAAGCCCGGCCCAGGCGGCATGGCGGCCGGGGTGGACGTGAAACAGGCTGGCCGCCATTGCCGGTTCTCATGCGTGTCAGAATTGGGGAACCCCAAAGTGGTGGCTTTCCTTCTGGTCTCCTTTTAAGGGGAAAAGGATACGCTCAACACACAGCATATTGATTTCCCCATGATTTCAATCGGCGTCTCGTGGACAGGCCAATTTCAAGGGATGATCGTTTTACGGCGTCATGTTTAATGATAATATATGAACATCATTTAGGCGGGGATTCATCCACCAAACACTTTCGAGGTGGTTCTTTGTGATTGAGATACATGGCCATTTACCGTGAACGTAAACACTGAAGATGGGACAATCAGTCTGGATCTTTTGACTGGACCTCAGCGTTCGTACCTAATTCATGCTGAGCGGGACTTGCATGAGCAGTCAACCTTGTGTCTTGCAAAGCTCAACCTGGGGTTGTCGCCAACAGGTCGGGCAATCGAGGGACACCAAGGATCTCTTTTGCCCCTCAACAAATCATCGAACTCATCGAAATTGGGCTGTCTTAAAATAGGGGCCCTCAACCCCCCCCCCCCCCCACAACATCAACGGGCCCCTTATTCAAATTCGCACCCAAATCTTGATGGCCCAGGCGGACTCCTGTTCCCGAGCAGGACCCGTGGTCACCACGACTCACCAAGGGTAACCACGACTAGAAGCCTCGGAAAGACTGGCTCAGATCCAATCAGGATCAAATCTAAGGCGCCACTACTCAGTCTCCTTCAGTTTCGCTGGGTGTACTGGACTAACTCTGGTAATTTTTAGTTGTTGCTTTGGGTTGGTTTGGATTTGGATTTGAGGCCCTGCTTCTTGCGGAGGGCAGATGGGAACCCACCGACCCACCCAACCTTCACACCTCCATTCCGCCAATCCAAGCCAGCCACCAGTGAATGGGTTGGTCTCAAAGTATGGGATGCCCCAAAAGGGTATTCCTCAAAGATGGACGATCAACTTCGATTTGGGGAAGTCCCGTCACCCCTCTTGGATGGACTCTGCATTCTTGAAGGCCTACAGGGAGCGCATGCTGAAGATCTACCAGCAGCACAACCCACACAAGATGAGCTCAGGCAGAAGAATCGGACCGGGACTTCGGGTGTCTTTGTGTGTGTGTGTGTTGCTTGGAGGTTCAATACCAGTTTGGGGTTGGTTTACAGGAAAACAGAAGGACAGCTACCATTTTGTTGCCCCGCATATTGACGCGCACACACACACAATCACACACACATAACATACATCTTGTGTAGGTCCTTCACTCAGAGATCCCTTAGTTCATGTTTCGGAACTGCAGAATGGGTTTATCTTAACATTTGGGACCCCCGAACATGGAACACCAACCAGAAGAGGTTCCCTAAGAAGGCACACGCAAATGTTCCCAATTGATTCAAAGGGTGCCAAAGAGAAGAACGGCAAGTTGCGCAACCTCCGGATGAGATGGGAGCTTCTGCACCAACGCCCTTGGCATGTCTTGCAACTTGGCATGACAACCACCTTTTGCTTATTGTGTTGGTTGCACATATGGTAGGTATCATGCTCCTTTCAATTGGTGTGTGTGTGTTGTTAAAGCTCTGTGTGGTTAGCCTCTCGGATCGTTGAGTTTCGATGTCCAAGGAATGAGATTGACAGCCTGATGGCAAAGTACGTGGGCCAGGAGCACACAATGTACCATTGCCAGCCTTAGCAGTGATTCATTTTGCCTTCCTTCTCGCCTTTTGCATGCCTTTTTGGTGTTCCTTTTCTCAATTGGAGCTTTCTTTGGTTTCCTTCATTTTGTCTCACCAGCAAAAGCGTTTGCAAGATAATTGTTTTTCGGTGGGGCGGAATTTGAGAATCTTTGTGGCCCAGGTATCTGAAGATTTGCAAGAAGTACAATGTGCAACCGGAGCCCGAGATCAAAGCTGGAGGCTGTTCCATTCGCATGTCCTTGCTGGTCTCTTCACGGTTCCCCCCTGTTTGTTGGCTTCAATTCCGGGAGGCTCGATTGGGCTTCCGGATCCTGCTTGAGTTTTTACGAGGTGGTGAAAAAGACGAAGATGATCATGGTTGGTTGAACATTCCGGGTACGAGTGCTGAACAGACCTCCCAAAAATGACAAAATGCACACATTGGGCACGCGACACCTTACCCTGCAAGGAAGCTATAAGGGGATGGTTCATAGTTCGTAGGGCGATTCCCTCATGCGAGACCCATACTTGTTTTAGGGAAGCTGGGTAAAGACATGTAGCACCTCTTCCGACTCTCTCTGTTGTTCCACTAGGGCAGGCGTTCCACATGCCATGTGTTTTGTCTGTGTGTGCTACAAAAGCGGGGGTTTGCCCGGTCGTCAAGTCTCACACGCTAAGGCCGTGTTGTTTCATGGGCAAACAGGGATTCCCTTTGGTTACGGATGGAGTTGCTAAAGCCGTGGAACTGGACTAAGATGGTTTCCACTTTTATATGGTGGCTATGTAGTGATCGTATATCCTATTGTACAATCCCCGGAGGGTAGTAGTTTGGGCGGTGGTGGAAATCGATCTTGACACACAAATGTGCCAATTTGTCCATGATCGAGGGATCCTCAAAGGAAGCTTGTCATGTTCCGCCACGGTGGCGCGAAGACCTTTGTGCAAGGGGAGACGTTTGGTTCCTCAACCTATTTGGGCGAATGTGGGTTGCAAAGTTCGTTTGTCCCCCAGATTGCTTCTCCACAGGAACAACATCTCAACCCTTCGAGGCAAAACCAACTCTGCTCGACTTTGCCTGTGGCTAGGCGCGTCTGCCTTCGGCCAGCCTATGGGCATGGGGCAGCCGACGGGGCAGATGGGGCAGCCTATGGGGCAGATGGGGCAACCTGCGAGCTCCTTGCCTTACACTCCTTCCGGGTACTGCATATGACTAACACACATGTACCAGGAAACTTATGATCTAAAGTATACTTAACTACTTTCACTGTGCGTAAGTTTGGAAGTAATTAGTCTGGGCAAATCACAACGAGCTGGCTGATTCGGGGGTAAAATGAGCTTGCCCATGATGATGGTCCCTTACAAACACGGGGATTCCTTAGTTCCATTTTATGATTGTGCAGTTTGCCCGGAATACCAAAGCATTCAGTCTCGCAGATCATTCCTGCAGCTATGTCGCTGGGTCCTGAACTTGGCGATCCTAAACCCGTCTGGGTTGTGTCAAAACAGGGCTCCTTGTTTTACAACATGTAGAATTTGCTTCTGACTTCCGACACGGAGGCTCTACAAGACATTGGAACGCCCACCAAAACCCAGGGACCTCCCTGTAGAGTTTCCTGCCTAGGCTCCGGCGGCTTCGGCGCGTTCGGCTCCTCGCCCTTCGGGTCCTCACCCGGAGGATGCACAGGCCGGTGGCTCAGTCAGGTTTCCTATGGAGACATTTGGAGACTCTTGGAGAAATGAACCACTGAACCACCGAACCCAGGAGTCCGTTTTGTGACTGCGCACCAGTTGGTAGGTGGTTGATCCCAGCACTCGCAGGGCTTCATCCATCCCAACTGATGCAGGATTTCGGCAACCCAATATAAATATATATGGGAGTCGTTCTAAAGGTCCTTGTAAGGAGTTTAGTATTCGGTGACCATCGGTGTTGGTTGAGGTAGCTCCGCGAAAGATTCGCGATGGAGTTGCGAAAGTAACTTTTTTTCTCGCGAAAGTTTTGCGTAACTGTGTCTTGCAAATCAATGGTATGTGAAACCATTCATCTTTGCTGGTGAGCCTTCCTTCTAAGCTGATTAAACCACTTTGTTGATTTTGCGCTGATAAAGCCTGGTGAGGCTACAGCTTGATACCCTGCTTGGCTGGTTCGTGCCCCCAGCCTGTGTATGTGTGCCTGTGGGTGTTCAGTCGGTGGCTTTCCGCTCTGAAACGTGGGTGATTTTTCGCGAAAGTTCCGCGAAAGATCCGCGAAAGCCCGCGCGAAAGCGCAGGCTTCGATTGTAAGGGGAGGTACTTTCTGAGCGCCGCGCTAGTCAGCATACTAGCTTGGTACTGGAAAGTTGAGACTTCAAGCTGGAGCTGCACGGCTTACGAAAAGCTGCGTCTTTTCAGCCGGTGCATGTCATGTACTACCCTTGTGATGAAAAGCTGCGACTTTACAGCTGGAGTCGGGGAATCGAATTTCGCGCACTACGCTGGCACGTAAAAGCTGCGATTTTCTGAATTGAGCAATGAAAAGGGCACGGCGATGAATCCGCGAAAGATTCGCGAAAGTAACTTTTTTATTCGCGAAGAATGGCCGTTTCGAGACACAGGAATTTAGAACAACCACCATATATATATATATACACATACATATAATATAAATATATATATATATATACATATGTGAGACGTCCTGAAGGTCCTTGTATTCAGGTTTGAATTGGTTGACCTTTTGTGTTGGTGTTGACGAAAGCTTCACGATGGAGGTCGCGAAAGCTTTGTGTAACGGTGGCTTGCCAAAAGGAAGATGCAATGATGAACCACATTTGTATGTGCGCGCGCAGAATTAGTCGGAGGAAACCGCGGCCCGAGCATTGCCGCAAAAAACTGCGCAGCTGCAAAGGCAACCCCCAACAGAAAGCCTTCCCACCAGGGGCGGGTGGCCAACCGGTCCCCCCCCCTGTGCGGCTGCACAGCTTTCAAGCTGGGGCTGTGGGAAGTTTACTTCGTGCGCCATTGTTGCATTGAAAAGTTGAGACTTAGTTGACTTGCAAGTTGGACTCGCTTTCTATTTTTGTGAATGTTGTGAAAACATGTGAAATAGCCCCGCGAAAAATCCGTCATGGACGCCCCCAAAAGTGTTTTTTCCCGCAAAGTTGGCGTTTTCGGGAACAATAATTTCAGACAACCGCCCTACAGAAATATTTGCGCAGCGTAAATTTTGGTTAGACACCCATTGCCGCACTTTGCCCTTTTTGTTTGGTGGTTCACCTTTTTTACAACGGTGACGGGACGACTGGGCATATGCTCAAAAGAACCCCTTAGACTCCGAGCTACTAGGGGTGATCGTGGATAGTGGGATTTTAGCCAGCAGGAGGGTTAACATAAAGGGCGAAGCATGGTGTGAACAGTATACTCCTGCAAGCACGACTACAAGCGGACTACCTTTGGTTTTGAGGCATCCCAGAAGCCAATTTCATTGTTTAGGTGCTTCTAGTGTGTTTCAAAGAGGGCAGCCCTTTGCAAACGACTAGCAATCTTTAGCTCGGAAGTTGAGACATGCCCATGTGCTTCAGCACGACGTTGTCTTAAACCGCCTCCTTGTTGTTCTTCTTCGATTTTGGCCAAGGACTGGTTGCTTAAGCAAGCTTTGCCCAGCCCTGCTTCCCATTCAATGGGCCCATCCGTGCAGCGGTCTCTATAGTTCATGTTGAGCGAAACACGTGTTGTGTGCCATCTTTGTATGGAGTGTTTCTTTAGGCAGATGTGTTTTTTTGTGGGGAGACATGAACCCTGTAAAGCAGGTTCCGGGAACAGCCTTCCCATTATGATACCATTGGGACAACGGCCCCCGCGTCACAAAGCCAACCAACCCACTCCTCAGCAACCCCAAGCCCCAAGGAACCCGAATGTGCGTTTGTGTTGTTGGAGAATACCCTACTGGGGTTCGGTTGAGAGCAAAGCAATGGGAAACCACCCAGTTTTGAGACAAACCCGAAAACTTCCGGGATTTTTTGTTCATCTCGTTTAGGCGGCTTTGGTGCACCGGCGACGGGAGGGCTCTTTGGATCAACGCCAGGCAGGGGTTCAGCGATGTAGGTGTGTGCATGCGAGTTTGGGAATAACTGTACGGGGCTAGATCTTGGTGTCTTTGTTTTGCGACCTTTAAGTTTGTAGCCTTTGGAAAGTGACATGTCCACTCTAACCAGCACACAGCTCAAGCTTTTGGAGGGGGTCTAAGACCAACCAGGAGAGAATTACTTGAAGTAGTATGATCTTATGAGTATGACTGAGTTGTGTCTTCAAGTTCCCACAACGACATTCCAAATATTCAAGCTCTATAGCAGGGTTGTCCTCAGCTGTATCTATGAACGCATCCAAAAAGATGTGATGTAATGAAGAGGAACATTGATGTGTGCTTACAAGCGCGTATCAGCTGTAGGCCACGAGTCTAAATCACTTTGTTGAAGACAATATCGCGGGATATTGGCGGGTCTCTGGTGCATCATGGTCATCCAAGTAAGTCGCACCTTAGGTTTGGGGCACTTGATTTGACGCTGTTGTCTCACCCAGAACCTGTTTTTGTTGACCACCTTGTATCGACTTTTATGAGCTGGTTCCTTCGGGGGTACCCTTTCAGGCGGTTTTGAAGGGAAACAAAAGAAAGCCACCCATTCTGGGCCTCCCAATGTTTGGAACAATTCTGAGGTGGGCTTTGGAGTGCGGCAACCCGAGTAGCCGCGAACTGGGAAGATCATTTGTGCAAATCATTGCCCAGCGCATCAATCAGAGCATCGCGCTCCACTCTGTCGTGTTTGGAGTGAACAAATCCTACTCAATTCAGAACAGGAGTGACTCTTGGCCTCAATCACAGAGGCATTGGGCAAGGAATCTTTGTATCAACCCTTCATGCATCCCGTCAGAAGCTTGGAAGAGGCCTTTGGTTCCTGCATTCGCCCCATCCGCACCCCCCTTGGTTTGCCAGGTGCAGCTGCGTCACCCTTTGGCGGTGGTGGTATGGGTGGCGGCATGGGTGGCGGCATGGGCGGTGGCATGGGCGGCGGCATGGGCGGTGGCGTGGGTGGCGGCATGGGCGGTGGCATGTGCGGCGGCATGGGCGGCGGCATGGGTGGAATGGGCTGCGGCATGGGTGGCATGTGCGGAGCCCAGCCTGCTGGCGGCATGGACGTGAGACAGGCTGGAAGCGTCTTGCGTGCGACGTTGATGGCCACTTCATGCCCGTAAAAGCTTTCTGGGATTTCGTTGTATGCGAATAAAGCTTTATTTATGTGCTACTGAAGCTCGGAGTACAGGAATGGCGCCTGGCCCATGCAATGCAAACTGCTCAAGGTCCCAAGGTGCTTGTCGCTTTTGTACCTCTTCACTTGATTTGCTTGGGAAGGCCTTCAGGCGCCACCTTCCAAATGATCTTTCTCTCGGTTTCTTGTTTCTAGCCTCGAACAGATAGTCAACACTCCAAGGCTAGAAGATGTTCGTCGTTTGTTTCCCACAGCCTCCCACAGTCCTTGCCCGGACATTTGATAGGCACGAGCTCCCCTTTTTGGGCGCTTCTCTTGAGACTGAATTCAGACGATCCGGGTCTTTTGAGGGAGGCTACAGTGCCCCCTTCTTGGCATGGCTTGAAAAGAAACCAAAGCGAAACCAGCCTTTTAGAGGAGATTTTCTGGGTTTCAGTGTTGCTTGGGGTGATCAAACAGAGCAGCTCTGCCTTGGCTTGTCCGCAAAGTGGCGAACCAAAGTCACCCGCGATGCTTTTGGGCTGCAGGCCTACAAGGACCGCATGGTCAAGATCTACATGCAGCACAACCCCAGTAAAGTGCTGCTCGAAACGCATTGCATGTGTTTGGTCAAAACTAGCATAAATGTATATGTATATATATACATACATACATACATACATACATACATGTATATTAGCTGTGAGGTGCATCTGATTTCGTACCGGCATCTTAATTCGGATGGCGCTTCAGTGGAAGATAGATGCATGTTAACTTCGGATTTACCCGGAGGAACCTACCAGTGTACGGCGCCCCCTAAAGTTGATATTTTCTTCCTAAAGGAGAGGCACCCCTGATTAGCACGGCCCTCCTGATCAAACCGAAGTTCAGCAAGTGTGAAGGGGATTGATACGTTACGCACAAGAATTTACGAATCACCGGTTTTCTTGGGGTTGCAAGCCCCAAGATCTCATCTCGATTGAGGGCAGCTGATAGGTCTGTTTGTTGCGGACTGTTCCAGCAGGACCTGCTGGGGACACCTGTTTGTTGCCCGTTGGTTGGTCATATTCCTTTCTTCCCTAGCCCAATTACCAACCGCTTTGTAGGATACCCCTTTTGCGGCCATGGACCTGGACACGGACAAGGGCAATCTTTTGTCAGAAGGCGTAATCACAAATATCCCACTTGTTTTTCACACTTTGCAAGCCACCCTGCAACTCGGCAACTTTTCGGAGCTGCATTGTGAGCTGCATAGCAATGTGGGTGCACCTTTGTTGTTGGAGCGTACACGAGGCATTGCTTGTTATGCCTGGCTTTTGTGTTTGGCGGTGTATATTCTGTTGTTTTGTGTTGTGTTGTTTGTTTTTCTGTACAGCGACGTCAACAGCAAAGCCATTTTGTTCATTCTGAGCGGTTTGTTCTGTTTGAATGCAACGCCAGAACTGGTCCCTAGGTGGGCCTTGAACTTCTGATCGGTGACTTGAGGGTTTGAAGCCCTGGTGCTGGGAGAGGGTAAATGGGGTTTCCCAGCCCGGAGCACCTCCGAAACCGGGCTCCAATCCATCACGGGTTAGGGTGACACCAGAAATCAAGGTAAGATGGTGCAGGTTTGCTTGGTGACTTCCCGTTGGAAACAACAACCCGGGGAGACCCCAAGGGCAAGTCGTTTTCAGCTGGGAAAGCACTGGTTGCAAGTAGCTTGGGCGGGCAGAGCAGTACAGTCCAAAGCTCACGCTTCTCAGTTCAGGGAACCCTGAAACCGGTTGTTAACATCCACAAAAGGGGGTTGCCACTTTTTGTAAGCACCCACTTGCCAGTTGCTGTTCGGAGTGCCGTCCGAAGGAACGAGATCGACGCGCTCATGGCGAAATATGTGGGCCAAGAGCACACAATGTACTTGAAGATTTGCTACTTGGATGTTGATGGCTTCTTCAAAGCTATGCGTTGGCCATTTAGCACAGTACCTTTTCCGCCAGACACCACCATAGCATGATCTTTAGTGGGATATGAGCATGTCTGATCAGGATTGCTGCGGACTTCCAAATCAAAGGTCAAGGGCATGAGTTGTGTAAGGTGTCCTGTCTTTCCCCGTTTCAGGAATCTGTTTCCCGACTGTGCCACGAAGAGAAACACAGATTCCGTGGCCCCGTTCCAGCGATGTTTATAGGACCATCCTGATCTATGATTTTGGTGGTTCATTTGCCAGACTCGGTTGGTGTCCGTGTTGTTTGTTGCTCATGGTGTGTTTTTGTGTGCAATGCACTTGGACATGTCAGACTATCATTGGACATGCCGCGCAGCGGTTTTTTTCAATGCTCTCTTTGCCACTGCGGCCCCTGGAGATGACTGGCACTCGTGTCGTGTTTAGGCTCTGATGTTGGAGCCCACTGCTTTGGACTTCCGGAATATGTTAGTCATACATTCCTCGACACTTAGAACAGGCTGCAAGACGCGGAGTTGTTCTTCCAAGCGATGCTTAGAATGATAAGAAGCATCTGAGCTTGAAATGTGCCCCTCAGATGCCATTGGTCTGAAAGCTGCCGCAGCCAAGAACCCCACCCATTTCAACAGGATACTGCAAAGGGCCCCTCTTTGGATTCCTTCATGTGCAACCAATGCAAAATGCTGCATCAAAAAGCATCTTCACCAGCTGATTTAGAGGATCCCTTGTTAAGCATGTGAATTTGAATGTATGCTTTCGATAGCGCTTTTGTCAGTTTGCTTCTGGTCGTTTTACCGGTGACATGAACTTGTCGGACAAAGCGCGACTTATTCTAATATCGAGGCCCTGGATAATCATTGTACTTGTGACATGTGTTCAGAAGGAGACCTCGCATGGCTGCGGGTCAAAATGTTCACTGGGGGTACGATTTGGATTTTGACCCCTGGCCACATCTCGAAAGCTGCCTGAGGTAACAAGTACAGGGTGCAGCCCGAGCCAGAGATGAAGCCCGGCGGTTGCGGCGGCTGCGGCGGATGTGGCGGATGTGGCGGCGGTGGCCTGTTCGGAGCACCCGCATCGGGAGGACTGCAGTGGCCATGCGTGGCAAAGTATGAACTTTAATGGGGAATGCCCTCAAACATAGAGTTGTGGGTGCCTGCAAAATTCCCGAAGTAAATGAGGTCCATGAAAGGGTCCCAACTAGGATTCAGACCCAACTCAAAGATTCGATGAGCCGGCACGTTTTGTTCCCTGTTATAGTTTGCTACTAGTTACCCTTTGTTTATATTAATATATATATATATATATATATATATATATATGTATCGCCGGGGTGTTGTCCTCGCCCCGCTAAGTAAGCGCTCTCCAACCAATGGTGAAAGGTATTATCTTTTCTGGTCGGTTTTGAACCTTGCAAGTATACCACCCAAAAGACGCGGACCAAAAGGTATATCGCAGGATTGCACTTGTCCCCGAATTGCAGTACATGATGACGGTGTCAATTGTAATGGCGGATGGTATAAACAACAAGTCAGACAGGTACATGTCAATCTTCACGATGTTCTTTTGATCAAGCATCAGTGCTTCGCTTGTTTGACAATATGTTTGATTCACCTTCGGGCGTTGTCAAAAGGTTGGACCCTTGTTGGGCCCTGGTGCCGCTGTGCCGCCTTTTTTTGGAGACAACAGAAAAGGCCCGTCCCTTTCAGTCATGTCCTTTCTGCCGTCCAGCGCTTGGTTGCATAAATGATGTTGGTGCCTGGTTGCCAGGAGGCTTCGGAAGTTCCATGATGGGTGCCAGCAGTGGCGGCTGCTCGGATGCATTGGGACTGGGAATCTGATGGTAGTGGGATCACGGGGAAAAAACAAACCCATAAATAACACCAGGCCCCTCAATGGCTATCAAGGGGCCCTCAAAGTAGTTCACTTAACAAACTGTTTGATTGACGGAGTCCTGGATACTGCAGCACAACTCACTGGATTGATGAGTTCCAGGGTCAACATTCAAGGAACTGGGTAAACTTACGGTGAGGTATAGAGACTCAGAGAATTGATACAGGCAAGGAACCGTGTGAAATGGGGGGGGGCGTGTAGGTTGCCACTTCTCGTGAGTGGCTGAGAGGGTCCCCTTGAAAAGTGAGTCACATGGATGGGAATCCCGCTTCGGCAACACAATCATGTTTGTTTTAAGCAAGTGTGGATATGGGTTTGTCTCCGAATAGGGGAACCCCTAAACTGGGTAACGGTCATTTGTTTCCCGTTAAGCCAAGCCCACAAGCGTATCTTACCCTCAAGGAACGACACACTCACACATCTACAAAAGTAGTGGGAGAAGCAGACTCGGATCAAGATTTGGTGGGCTCAGAGTGAGCACCTTCATCCTGGCAACAGTTGTGTTCCGCCTGCTTGCTCGACTGTAGTTGAAAGGCAAGAGTCATGGGGCCACCAATACCAGACGTGAACACACACACACACACAACTTGCGACTATTGTTTCCAGTGTCAAAATGCTGGTCATAACAACCAGGCTATGTTGAACCAATGCTAGTAGCATACAACGAACCTCGATGTTTGTTGGAAGCAACCACTGACAGAACATACCTGTTTTCCACATGCGTCATACTTAGGCAAGCCGCGCCTTTCAACTTCCTGGCTATGTGAAACATGTCATTGAGGATCAATGTTTACATAAGGTCCCTTGACAGAGCATGTGGGCGCATGTTGCTTCGAACAACCATCCTCACAGAAACACACGGAAATACATCAACTTGCAACTCCAAGACCACTCATGGAAGCAATCAAATTGAAGACCCAAAAACATTCATGAACCCAACAAACAACAAACATCCAAAGACTCACAGAAAACAAAAAAAACATATGTTTCCCGGCCAAATTCCTCCTTTTTGTGCTGGTCTCGCGCGGACGTCTTCTGATTGCCAGGTTTCGGCGCCTCGCCCTTCGGGGCCGCGGCCTCGGCTTCCCCGGCCTTCGGCGCCCCCTCGGCGATGGCGTCGCCCTTCGGGGGCGGCATGGGCGGCATGGGCGCTGCGCCGGGCGCGAGCGCCTCACCCTTTGGAGGACGCACGGCGCGAATCGGCCGTTTGGGCGAATCTGCCGTTTGGTCCGTTTCCGACTTCGGCCAACTTGTTGAGGTTCGACTTTCTTGGTGGTAAGTTGTCTGTTTGCGCAATCCACTCGGGAAGTGAGGGGGGCCATTTGGGTGCGGCTTCCTTTTTGAGTTGGTTCCCCTTTTGGGAGAGTTTGAAAGGCAAAACCGAAAGGAAAACCACCAATGTGGGGTGTTTTAATGGAAGTAGAACTGGTGGATTCTCAGAGATGGGGGAGGTCTTTTCTTGTAAGGGGGTCATCACTTAGGGAGCACATCCCTATTGATGTACGGCTGGGGTCCACAGCACCCCTTCCGCCCCGGTCTTCGGAGCAGCTCTGCAGGCGGCGCTTGCGGAGGAGGTTTTGGGGCATTGGCGCAGCAGACGAGCTCCGCCTTTGGAGGCGGGAAGCTTCTGCTGGTTTCGAGCTTTGAACCAGTTATCTTATCACAAGCTCACCTGGAAAATGTCCAACGGGCTCACGCGAGATGAAGGATGGGTTTACTGCACACAACTGGGCCCTGTACAACAATTCATTTGCGAAATGGAAATTTGAGGAATCCTCAATGAGGATTCCTTATTTCCAGTGTGTGAATCAATTGTTGTAAAGGGCCCAGTTGTCTGCAGTGAAACCAAAATGTTTCAAGCAGCTGGAGCCTGGCACCCTGTGTTAAGGGAAACGCACATGAGGATGTTTGAACAACTGTCGTTTGAACAAGTATTTGAAACTATGATATGAGCGCACTGATCGGGGTTGAAATGAGCGATTCCACCGGCGATGAAGGTGCTTGCTATGACTTGGATTGGGTTGTATTGCAGTTGGAAGGAAGCCACTCATTTTCTTAAGAAATGTTTCGCTTTTGCAAGAACCAGAATCGGTATTTGCTGTTGACCTTTTTATTATCATCTTCGCTGGAAACACATATTGGTAAGAATGTGGCTTTCGTCAATTGCTATCAATCCTTCCATCGTGGATGGAACGGCGGGAGTGTTCCGATCGCTTGCGCCAAAGAACAACCATGCCTATATTGATAATATCATCCGAAAGCAACCCATTTGCTAGAGCTCGTGAGCGTTTCGCAAAATGATGTACCCCTTTCAGTTGGTGTTCAAGATAAAAGGGAAGCCACACGGAAACCACCCCATTTCAGGGGGACCACTATTCTGCGGGTCACACCCGTGGGTCACCCAAGGGACACCGGGTAGAGCTCGCGAGGTGCTGCTGCCTCCCCCTTCGGCGCGGGAAATGCGGCCAGCCCATTCGGAGGGCCTGGCAGCCCAGCGTGGATGTCGGCAGAAGTCTGGGTGCCGAGGGTTCGAAATAGCAACCATGATGGGTGGATTATAACGACCTCACCACGACCGAATTCACCCCAAATGGTGGTTTATGTTGGAAATAGCCCCGCCACCAACTTATTTCAGGTTGGTGAAATATTATAATTCACCCAGAAACATATGGGTGTGTCTGTGTTAGGGGACCCCCTCCCAAATGATTTGTGTTTCCCTGCAACCACTTGTGTGTCCCTCAAAAAAGGACAGACCCATATCTTGACCAAAATCAAAACGGGATGGGTAAGTATTTCATTTTCCAGACCCCCTGTTTCACACACAGTAATGGGAGGCTAGGACCGCTACGGCATTTTGGGTTCTGGGTGTCTTGGATGGACTAAACTCACTTCGCGCAGCAACCTTAGTGGCTGAGTTCCTGAACTTTATACGGAAGACCTACTTAAGCGTCCCAACATTTGTGTGGTCCTGAACAACAGGTTGCTTTGAGGGCCCCTGAGGCAAAAATGTTGGCCTTTTCGGTGTTGAGATACAGCCTATTCGATATTTCTGCCGGGTCTGCCCGTACGGGTGTGGGGCTGCGGCTATTTGCTGGTCGTTTTCGGTTTCCAGTCAACGGTTTGCTTGTGACACCGGCACGCTTTGCTTGTGTACGTATGCTGATGAGCTTCTTGGGTTTTTGGACGAGACCGCCTTGGGCAAGCTTCAGATGGACCTTTCTCCCGGTTTTTTAAATTTCCGAGCTGGTGGAGCGACTGTCCCACAAGTTAAGTGCGGTAGATTGAGGGTATTTCCCACCTTTTGCAATCCGTGCATGTTCAGAAGACTGACTTGCAGCCCGTCATATCGCCTTTGTTGCTCTGTCACTCCGTGGCGCCGAAGCTGGCCTACCCCGCGGATCATCGGATCCGGGGTCCTCGCCAAATTGGAAAGCACAAGAACCTCTTGATGCATGTGGTTTGGGGCCCCACCTGTTCACCCGTTTTGATCTTCTAGGCTCTTTCGGGTTGGGGACTGGTCGTTAGGTTCCTTCGACCGTATCGGGCAACAAACAGCCGGTGGGACTCGGGATTGTTGCCGAGCCTTGAACTTCCAACAGGTTTTTTTGGCGGCGTTCTTCATCATAGCTACTGAATATATGAATAGATATTCTTTAGGCTGATGTTTGTAAGTATCGATGGTGTCAAAAGGAAACCAAAAGACGCCACACATGTTGTGGGTCCCCTATTCACAGACAACCGTACACACCCAATGATTTTCCGGCGATTTGCCTGTGGTTCCCTCTATCCACCTTCTACCATGTCCTGCCCATTCCAGCACAATTCCAATGAGGTTCCAGTCAAATTGCAAGGAACACCTAATGAAGTTCCAATGACACTCCTGTGAAAGTCTAATGACTGTTTAATGAACTTCCAGTGAAATTCCAATGACACACTGATTTGCCCACCCTCTCCAAACCAAATTCAATGTCCAACCCTCTCCCAATTCCAATGAAGTTCCAATGAACATCCAGTGAACATGATTTGTTTGGAGCACATCACATCAGCATCCCACTGGAGCAAAAGGGACCACATGTTTAGCCTTCTTCATCAAACCATGTGCTTGTTGGACAAAGGACTTTGGTTTTCTCCGGACATGTCAGATGAAGCGCCCCCATCCGTCCCTTAAACATGCCCAGACACTTACAGGGGGTGGGGTTGCTGGTGTCCTTCAAGCCTGGTTATCCCTTTCGATGGTCTTTATAATCGTATGAAAGTATATGTTTTCCCTGAGATGTCGTGTTCTATCTTTTTTCAAACAAAAAGCGACGAAGAAGAAGGACAAAACAAACAATCCAAACCAAGCACAAACCAAATCAAGCCATCCCAAGCACAACCAAGCAACCAAACCAATCTAACCAACCAAACCAATCAAACCAATCAAACCAACCAAACCAACCAAACCAGCCAATGTAGCCAAACCAAATCCAACCAAATCCAACCAAACAAACAAACAAACAGACCAAACACAAACCAAATGCAACGAACCAAACCAAGCAAACCAGCCTAACCTGCCGAAGAAACTGCAAAAAAAGAAATAGACCTTTGGCATAGGTCGGCAGCTTCTCCCTTCGGCGGTGGCTGCGGGGCCGGCTGCGGCGCCTGCGGCGGCTGCGGCGGCTGCGGCGGAGCGCCCGCGGCACCCTTCGGGGCCTCTCCTTTCGGCGCTTCGGACGGCAACGAAGCGAAGGGGAGGGGTCCAGGGTCGATCACATGTTTTTGTCTTTTTGGTTTTTCATGACCTCCTCAAAGTTGAGGGGTGCGATTTCCTTTTTGTTTTTCGTTTTTTTGGTTCAACATTGTTCAACCACAAAAAGAAGAGAGGTCAGGACTTGACCAAGGATGGTTGAAACCAATAAACGCAGCAAAGGTGGTGTTGGAAACCAGCAGAAAGGGGGGCACATTTGGGTGGCTCGTCTTTTTTGAGGAACCGGAGCCTCAACGTTGGATTTCGGTTCTCCTTATAGTTTCCCCCAACCGAAAGAACGACAGGGCAGCCTCAACGGACAATGTCGAAGCCGGGTCTCACTCCCTGAGTTTGGGGACTCGCAGCTTGAGGCCTTGAGGGCTCAGGGGAAGCCACCCGGAGACCTCCAAAGCGCCAGTGGGTTGGACTTGGTGAACCCCAAACCTGAGCTTCTGGACTGGGGTCGTCCGAAGTTTCCTTCGGGTTCCAGGATGTGTTTTGGGCATCCTGAGCCATTGTGGAGTCTCAGCCGCTCAGTTGCTGGACTGTTTGGGTGGCAAACAAACACCTCGGACTGGTTGTTTTGGGCGGTCGGCTCAAGGGGCAACATGAGGGGCCGACAAAAAGAACGTTCTGCTCCGATGCTTACATTTTATGTCCAGTGGTTTGGCAGTTCCTCACAACATTGCAAATACTTAGGCGCTGTTAAACAGAAAGCGGGAGGCTAGCCCAACTACTCAAAGGGCAGGGCACCAACTACTCAACAAGGCCCCGTTCTACGTGTATGGGTCTGTCATTTGTTTAAAGTATGCCCCTTTTTGGTCGGTTCTAAAGGGAAACCAAGAGGGAACCACACACTTTGGGGGTGCAGGGAGTCCCAACCTGTCGCAGCCATAGACATGGGCTTCTGGACAGTCCCAACCAGAAGTTGGTGCGGACATCCACTGCTTGGGTCGATCCCTGGATCAAAGACCATTTGGATGTGTCTTGCTCTACGGGACCCCCCAACAAATAAATAAACGATATTGGCAATAAACATAATAAATAGAGAGACATAAACTAAAGCAGAACAATATAGCCTGTTGGTTTCTTTTTAAGACGCAACAACCGGGTACCCTCACAACATTTGTGGAATGGGTCCCCACGTATTAACATTAAAAAAGCACAGAAAGCATTGGCATGATATGTACATGAGTTTTATACAAGGGGTATTTTGTACTACCTGCAGTTTTTCTATGGTTCCATGGGGATCCCAATGGTCCTTAACATTGCCAGGCGGTTTATCTGTGAACCTGTTGCATGTAGAAGAAAGCTGTGTGCGAAACGTGGGACTGTTGCGGAGCTGGCTTGACATGACACCAACAGATCATCCATTTGGGATGTCCAGATCGTTTTGAAATTATGCATCTAAGCCACCACAGACATGTTGGCATTGATGCTCTGAACTTTGGTTGCACTAAATATTCGGGATTCCAGAATTCTACTCAGTGAAATATCGCCATTCCTGGTAGCATCCGTGCAGATCGGAGAGAGCCCTTGCCATCCCCTTTTGAGAGTAGCTTTTTGTTTGGCAGTTTGGATGGAAGCCAACTGGAAACCAGGTATTCTGCGAGTTTTTTCGCGCGGGCTACCCCTCGCTCGCATGGCGCATCACCCTTTCGCCGAGGCGGCGGCGTGGCGAACGCTTCGCCCTTCGGCGGCGGCGCAGCCTCACCCTTTGGAGGCCAAAAAATGCGTTTCTCCTGCCTATAGGCCTATGGGTTTCAAAGTAGTTACCCCAAAACCACAAATAGGCCGAGTGTTGGTTTCCTCCTATGATGATCTATAATGACTAAAGTTGGTTTCAAAGCAATTACCCCACAACCTCATGTAACGATCAATATCGACCCGGGGGTTCCAATTAGAAACTTGATCGTTTGGTATTTCCCAGCTTCGCAGCATGGTTACCCATTGAAAGCAGTGTAGTGGGCGACTTCGGGTCAGAGAGCCCACCAAGTTTCCAGGCTGGTGAGAATCAAGCATGGTGCCCATCTGGGCGCGAGAAATGAGTCGGATTTGGGTGTGTCGTTTTTCAGGGAACTCCCAAAATAGTGGTTTCGATTTTGGTTTCCTTAAAAAAAGAAACAACAGCAAACAAACACACATGGGGTAATAACTCCAAAAAAGACACCCGCTTTGTGAAACCTGAAGCCTGCTAGTCCCAAGTTGCTTAGGCGGATCACTCTCCTAGCAATACCTATAGCCGGCTCCCTCTCTTGCGCCCTCAGTCAAATCGAAAGCATGGGTTGCGTACGCGTTGTTCTAAATGGTGGACGCACTGTTTGTTGGTATTTATAAATCGGGACCAAAAGGAAGCCAACCACTTTTGGGGGACCCCTACCGTGGATGGACACCATCCTGCACCAATTGAGATGAGATGGATCAAACCTTGCAAATATTGGGATACCCCACCTACCGACTGGTGCAGGATTTATTGTCCATCCAAATCAGAAAACCTTGCCATGTGAATCACACAGCTCGCATCGGCATGAGCCCCTTTTCAGCTGGATTTCCAGGAAAAGAACGCACATGTTTTGCGGGGTCTCCGATTTCAGGAAACACCCATCAAGTCAACTTCGACGAGCAAGCGAGATATTTCCATGCACCAGCCAGTTGAGGAAGATTTCTTTAGATATGGTCCTCCTCGATAGAATCCGATTTGAATAAACTCAAGCAGACTCGCCGCAGGTTCGCAGTTCACGCAATACCGGGGCTGAGTCTCGCCGAGCCTGCCATTGCTTTCGGGCGGCGCGGATTGAGTCATGGCGCCGTGCGGTAATTTACATGAAAATCAGCGTGTCCCGATTGATTTGCCGACCCTTGGAGCTCGAGGTAGCATACTTGCATTTGCTTAAGAATATGTGTTGTTGTTTTTTTTGCTGGAATCTATCATACCGGAATTTTGATTATTTTATCCAGTGGACTTAAGCAAATGGAAGCATATGATTGGCCAGCAGATAGGGTTTAGTCATGGTCGTCATACACAACTTGGCATATGCTCATTGTCGTATGGATTGCTACTCACGCCGCCATGACCATCCCCCGCACAGGGGGTGTTAGCCATTGCGCTTATGCTTTGTGTCCAGGGCCCGCACAAAGCGCCGATAGGACAAGAGCGCCACATGCGAACATCTGAAGAGGCTGAGATGGCCTTGGGCTGCAATGAGTTTTGCGCCCTCAAAAATGGTAGGGACATCCCCATGCCCAGCTTTAAGGCATGCAGTGAAGCCGGGAGCAAGCATGTTCAATTCCTGGGCTGCTTGGCGCAGCTTCACGACCCGCTTTTGGCTTCGAGCCAGCCGATGCAGTTATGGGCCCATGGTTGTTCGGTCAAAGGATGCCGCGATCTTTGGGGTGAAACAGCGGCCACGTGAAAGACCTTCGTGGTTCCTTGGCCAGCCTGGGGCACGTACCCTTTGCCGATGTGCTATGGAATCAAGCAGTCGGGCACATGCAAATGACAGATTTAGGGAGCCACAGGGCAGACCTCACTGTGCAGGTGGCAGAGAGAGACCGAGGGGCACTCATGTTTTGGCAGTCGGATTACTGTAGGCCCAGGTTGAGGCAGCTACAAGATCGACACGTTGCCAATCTTGGGGTTCTTGCAGCACGTGAGTTAGTAGACAAACTGAAACAGCTGTACAGTACAGGTTTTTTTGACACTGTACGGTTGTGTGGCTGCTCTCAGAAGAAGTAACCCGGATGATCTGGTTGCGCCATCACGCGGCAAAATGTGTCTCATGTACTAAGTGAGAGCCAGGGGAGCCATTGCAGCCTCATAGTGACTATCAGTGACGGTTGGTGACCATTGAGGGCCGTCGGGGCATCACAGGGAGAGTGGCATACGGCGCTTGTGAGGGTCACATTTGTTGCCCTGCAGACTGGCAGCGAGAAGTGGAGCGCACGGGCTCTGCAAGCCAAGCATTAGGCAGTGCGCAAAAAGGGAGCAAGGCGTGGCAAGGGCCACAATGCCACATGGCTGGAGGGTGCTGAGCGGGACAATCGCAGTCATTGGAAATTATCACTGCGAATCTTGCATTCTATCATTCTAGTCTAGGGCAACTGAGCTGGTCGAAACAGAGATTTGACGAGTCTGTGAGGAGAATATTTGGGTGGGCATGTCAACCACATACTTTGAGACCTGCGTTGGGAATGTGTTTGGGTAATTGAGAGTGACTTTACTTCGCAGGGTTTTGGGACCTCCCCCAACGATGAGGGTTCCAGGGTGAATTATGACATTCCAAGGCACAGGGCTACTCAGGTCCCAGAAAAAGGAGATGACGAAAACCTTGGTCAAGGGTCTTTTCTTCGGTTCTCCACTACCGGAGATATACCCTCGGATTTGTGGGATGCCCTCATTTCCGAGTCGCCACAACTTGATGGTTCGATAGGTAGGGAATTCGTGTTGTTTTTTTGGGCTGGGAACCTGCGAATTCCCGTAGAGGAAGCCAACTGGTTGGTCTGTAGCAGTTGAGCAGAAGTTGATCCAAGTGTCCATGCTTGCACGAAATCTCGAAGTGCCCGAGCCAGGGCGGGCAGGTTGTGTGAAACAAGCTCCGACACCTTAAGAATAGCTTCCATATGTCCTGTTGAGGAATTGATGTAGCTTGTGCAGTTTGCGAGTGATTGAATTTTGCCTTTGTCCGCGGTCCCTTTGAGGGCAGGGCAAGGCAACCTGAAAGAATGAACCTCATCTATCGCTTGCCCAAAGTCGATCGACATCTTTCCCTTGGTTTTGTTTCAAGTTTTCCCTTGGTTTGCGTGGTTCCTGTTTCAAGAGCCATAGCCGGCACTGGCAAGGATTTGCATCTGCATGACTTTGGCAGCATAGGGGCTATCAGCAAGCCATGTTGGTACCGGAAGCCCAGTGTCTTCAAAATAGGAGCCCCCAATATCGGGCATCGGCTTCTTTTGGTTTCCCTTTGCCCACCAAAAGGGGGTCCACTGTCTTAAGAAACTCTCAAATAGAGACCCACCAAAGAAAAAGGCAGTAGTTCGAAGGTTTGTACACCAAGAACATGCTTGGGAGGTAAAACTATGGCGCTTGCTTCGGCCCATGCCCAAAGCGGAGCGCAAACACCCGATCTCGTGCTATGTAAATAAATGCTTGGCAGGTGGGCAGGAGGCTTGTATCCATCTAATGAGCGTTTTTCCTGGTTATGGACGAGTTGAAGCCAACTAAGCACAGGGCACTGTCTCTTTTCAGGCCCCTTGCAACGTGCTCAAGCTGATTCTTCATAGGTCGGAAGCAATCCAAAAGTCCCAACTTGGAATGGGGTCCAAACGGGTCCAAGAGCTACAACCACCGGTGTCCCTGCGCAAGCAGGGTTGTATCCAGGAGATAGTGCCATTCTCCCCATTGACTACTTCAAGAAAACACCCAGCCATTATGAACCATCTTGGGTAGTTCAAGGTGCAATCCCAGGCCTGAGTGGTGTCCGTCCTTCGAGCGAGCCTCTGGCTCGAGCATATGGCGCGCAGCGCCCGGGGAGATCAGCCCTGGCCCTTTTTGGCCGCAGTGCTTAGGGGCAAATCAGGCTGGTCCGCAGCCCCTACTAACAAAAACAGCGGCGGTTGGGTGCGGAGTTTCAAGGGAATCGTTGCTTCACTGTTCGGGCATTGTCTTCGGGCTTTGTTTATGTTCAGTCAGGGACTACAAAGAACAAACCTTTCTTGCTAACTAACATAGCAAGGGTTGGAAACCCAGTTTGTACGCATGGGCGCTTTTAATATGAGCTGGCAATGTAAGGTGCAGAGATGAGCAAGGTGATCGTAAGGCACAGCGACAGCGCATGCTGGATGACAACAGCTCAGACTCGCTGTTGAGCCTCGAGGTCTCCCGGTCGGGATGCCAAGGGCGAGAATGTCCAGGGGCCCCCTTGGGGCATCAGGGGGTGGGCTATGTGTAGGATCCCTTGGTATGACATCAAGGGCTTTGCCTCGTCTTGTTTGGTGTAACTGTTGTGTTTTCATTTGGTGTCTTCGGAATTTAGGATGCCTCTTCCAGGTTTAGTTGTTTCCCTCCGTGGGTGATCCATGTTTCAGCATCCCCTCAGATTGGTCGTTGTCCAGCTCCATTCGGATTGGAGATAATTTTTGGATGTTTTGTGCTGACCTCTACAAGCGCACCAATCAGGCAAAATGCGGAATAGGCTAAATGGTGAATGAATCGCCCCCCAGGCAGGATTCTCCCTTCTCGCTTTTTGTGGGCCCTTTGAAACCAACTTGTCAGGAAGCAACACAGGGTCCCTCCAATTGCCTTTTTGGCCAGCTTCATCATGTCAATGTAAATGCTTCACGTATTACTCGCATGTGCAGGCGTGTTTCCTACTCTGGATTCTGGGGTCTCCTCCAAAACTATTTAGATTGTTGGCTAGACTAAACGTGAAGCATGATCAGAATATATTAGTTTGGAGTATTCTAGTGGGCCAAGCAGGAAACCTGCATGGAAGCAACCGCCAGGTGTCCATAAGCTCATGTCTCAAGGGTCCTGAGGATTGCGTTAAATCGGCCTTGGGATCCCAACAGCAAGTCATTGTTGGGTGCGGAGAACGATGGGTTCTCCATAATATGGATTTGTGTGTGTGTGTGCGCGTTGGGGTTTTGAGAGCATCCTTGGGGCTGGTTTACAGGGAAGCCAAAAGCAAACCGAGTCGCCATTTTCGGCGGTCCAAATCCCGATTTCCCTGCCATCCGTTCAATGGTTCTTTAAAACAGCCAGCCCTCTAAGCCCAAAAGATTTTGTTTTCTGGAATGGATCATCCCAAAGGATGAGAAGTTGTGACTCAAGAGTGAGGCCAAAAAGCCCATGGAACACCCCAAAGATCGTCTAGAATTGTACAACCTCTGGGGCAAAAAACGGACATGGGCTCGTCAAATCTCTCGAGTTTTGGTGGCTCTGGCTTCAGAGCATGCGCCCACCTATGCCTGCCAGATGCACGCGACTTTTAAAGTGCGCGCGCGCGCGTTCGCACGCGAAGCTCCCATGCAGTAACAAGAAAGGGCCCCTGCAGAGTGGTAGAGTAGTGCGCTACAGAAAATCGTGCCGTTGAGCTCGGCAGTGCATGGCTTACAGGTGGTGCAGCAAAGCGCAAGCGACTGGAGTCGAGTGCGACCGATTCGGCCGCACTGGCAATGACCCTTTGACGGGCGCTACCTGGATACATCCGGAACTCGCTGCATGCTATCAGCGACGCAGATGTTTCTAAGTTTCTGAAAGAATACTTTTGCGGTGCAGGATGCATTCAAAGAATCATCCAAATTTGCAGATGCTTGGCAGGTGATGTCCTTTTCGACATGTTGAGGGTATGCCACGTGTCCATCCGGACGGCAACGGCAGGCCTATCTCATCCTATCTCCAAACTTGGCATGCAGAGCAACCAGGTAGAGGGAAACCAGCAGGAAGCCAAAATTAAATATGAATATGGGTCAAAATTAAACCACTGGAAGAGCGCAGGTTTCGTCCTTATTTCCATTTTGGTCACGCATTTTTGACCCACAGCCATATATCAAATGTATTTATTTTCCATAGGCCAAGGTGTGGAAGGGCAAAGCCGTTGTCGCGTGCACGCTTGCAAGGTGCAGGCGGCGCTGGCTGGACAGGCGAGGGCTTGACGCCTATCACGGTATCCACCCCCGCCGCACCCCGCCCCTCTTGTCTGCCATATGAGGCCTTAACTTCCAGTTGCTTAATGTGTTTTTGTCCCCTCTCTGGGTT